CTGCTGTGGGACTTCTAATCAGCACATGAGTGGTCCAAGCCACTACTTCTGCCCAAAAAAATAGCAGGAACATGCATATCAGCTCGAATAAATTGAAATGGTTATGTTCTTTCTCTCTGCCACCCCATTCTGATGTGGGGTTAAGGCAGCAGTGAGCTGCCTCCTTATTCCTTTCTCATCACATAGCTCTTTAAATTCAGTAAGTATAAACTCCCCTCCCCTATCAGTTCTCAGACACTGAAGGGTAAGACAGGTTTCTTGTTCAACTTGTGCTATGAACTTCTTAAAGCAGTCTAGTGTATCTGATTTAGCTACTAAGAAGTGCACCCATAGTTTCCTGCTAAGATTATCTGTGATTGTAAGTATGTATCTCTTTCCACCGTTTGAAGTAGGTGTGATGGGGCCACACAAGTCTACATGAATTAGTTGTAGTTTGGCAGTTGCCCTCCAACCACTCTTCTTAGGTAAAGGTTGTATGTGTTGTTTACCTATCTGACAGGTACCACAAACTCCCACATCTCCCTTCAGAGGAGGTAGATCAATAATCAACCCCTTCTGTTGCAGTGTCTGTAACCCTCTAGGGTTGAAATGACCAAACCTTCTATGTCATAGAGTTAGGGACTGACTACTATCATCTGTGATCTTAAAACAGTGAGTCTGCTGAACTGATGGCTCATCACGAATAACAAACATACGATTTGTTTTCATCTCAGTTTGCAGCAACATTCCTTTATCATCATGATTTTTTTTACTAATGACATGTTTAATTAAGAAAGCCAGACCCTTCTCTTATAATTGACCAATATTAGCGGATTGCTTCTTAAGCCAGGCACATAAAATACATCTTGAATAACCATATTCAATTCAGGAGTTGTGAGTTTGATAATACCTTTAGCAGATACAGCCAGCTAGTTGTTGTTGCCAAATCTCGCTATACCAGAGATATCCTCAGCTACCTCGGTGAACCACCTTTTGTCTCCATTTTTGGTTTGCTTGACTTCTTCCAGCAAAGCCATCAAGCCTAGAGTTTCTTCCTCCAGCTCTAATGAGTCTTTGGAGTCAACACAGGCCATTATCAACATATCTTCTTTGATATCACCCCTGGATCTAGTCTGTGTTGGATAGAGATTGGTATAGTGAGCATGTTGTTCATGATCCCAATCAGGACATTCTGCTTTGAAGTGACCTAACTTGTGGCACTTGAAGCATTCAACAGCTTCTCTATTCCAACCTCTTCCTCTTCCTCTCCCTGGATAGAAACCCCTGCCAGAACCTCTTCCTCCTCGCCCTGTCGCCCATATTCATGAGAGACCCTGAGAGTCTGGTCTTCCACAAGTGCAGCAATGATAGTCTTTCTATTGAACTTTTGCTCATGCACCAGTAGGGAGCTTTGAAGTGCATCTACTGTGAACATATCAATATCTTTTGATTCTTCAATAGAGCAGACTACATAATTAAACTTTTCAGTTAAAGTTCACAGGATCTTCTCTACAATTTTCTCATCTGGCATATCCTCACCATAGTATCTCATAGTGTTGGCAATCACCATCACTCTACCAAAATACTCAGAAATTGATTCTCCTTCTTTCATTTCAAGCAACTCAAAATTTCGCCGAAGTACCTGGAGCTGAGCCTTTTGAACCCCTGCACTGCCTTGAAATTTCTCCTTCATGGACTCCCATAGTTCTATAGCTGTCCCTTTCTTGGCAATGGTCTTCAACATGGTTCTGTCAATAGAGCTAAACAAATAGTTCTTAGCCTTTAAATCTTCCAGCCTCAACTCTTCGAGACTCTTGAGTTGCATTTAAGAGAGCACATAAGTCATCACCCTCTGCCGGTTCCTTGAAGCCAAGACTGATGACAGTCCAATATTCCTTAGAGTGCAGCAAATTCTCCCAGAGCAAAGTCTAGTGCTCATAATCCCCATCGAATTTTGGGATGCAAACCTGAGCACGACTTACATTTCCACTCATGATTACAGGTTTGTGTTAGCAACGCTTGTCCCTCACCCTGATAATCAAGATACCTCACAATACCTATTGTGTTTCCCTTAACCCATACCAGACATGATTTCACACAACTCTCTTAATCTCACTTTTCACAAATGTTGGTTACAGTTTGCCTGAGTGCTCTGATACCACAATGTAGATTTCAAAAGCTATTGCAAATTGATGAATCTTATTGATAATTGGGAAAGACTCTAAATACTTGATGTTTGCCAACAGACTCAGCCACTAACAATGGCCACCAACTCCTAAACCCTTAATTTCAGGTAGTGTCTATTTGGTCCGACCTTTTTGGCTTTACCCGAAACTGGACCGTATAACCCGGACCGGGACCGGATAGCAAACAATCCAATCCAATCTTTGCGCCTAGATTTGAGGTAAAAAAAGTTTGGGACCGGACCGAAAACCGGATAAAGACCGGATAGGAGAGACCAACACCCAAAATTCAACCTCCTCATCCTTTCAGGCCTTAGGCCACTCAAATCCCCCCTCAGGCCACTCAAATCCCCACAAACTCAATCTAAAATCAAGACCGAATTGGAACCGGACCAGATCAATTTGGACAATTTTAACCGGACCGTATAGCCACCCCTAATTTCTGGTGACACTAACTAACCAACTAACAACACTTTGACTTTGCTGCTAATTCACTCAACACACTCGACATGACTCAATTGCAACATAATAAAACTCAAAGCCCCTAAGTGAACTAAACCAGACGACACCATCTTTCTTAAACTAGACATATACTTTATTTGAACTTCAGTCTTGGCGCCAGTCTTCAATCCTTCTGCTGCAAGGATTACAACTTCTCCAAGCCTGCTGCTGCTACGAAACTTCAACCTAACAAATTTCATAAGTAAAATGTCATCGCATCAGTCCAATGGGTGCAGGAGGGCACGCAACGCCTGATTAGCAACTCGCAACCATGGATATGAGTTTGTCCTCCCAAAAAGGTTGTGAGCATAATAGCTGGATTGATTCGAAAAGGGGGAAGCATTACCTAGAACATCCTCATGATGACATGCCCTTGGATGGCTTAAGGAGGTGGCTAATATTATATGCACTTAATTTTACATTATACATACATCCCCATAGGCGTAGATAGGCTTCTTTTTTTCTAACGAAGAATTATAATAGCCCAATACAGAAGAGAAGAATAGGTGATAAGTCAATGGTGCACCAAAGCTTAAAACTTATTATCTATAATCACCAACAGCTTATCACATAATTTTAAAGTCTTCTCTTTGCTTCTGCATAGATCTAAATCGAGAAATGTCTCCTAGCTGACGTGACTCAAGTGTGCCATTGATAACAGGGAATCATATTCATGCTTATAGATAATAATTAAGTGGGTTAGGAACTTAGGATCGAATACTTGCCTTAATTGGAGCAAACAAGTGGCCACCACAAGGGATAATGTTTTCAATTAGAACCACCAAGAGTAGACTAAACACAACGACTCCAAATTCTAAGGGATTTATATAAAAAATTCTGACGAAGCAAAACCCAAAAAAAGAAGAAAACAAAATATAGAGAAGAAAAGAAAAGGGTAGTTTCGCACCATTCTCGCTAGAGGTTTCGGCATTAGATGCATATGATACATGTATTTATAAAATTGTTCGACCATGTTCAATGTGAACATATAGAATCGTGTGATGAGTGATTCAATAATGTAAGTAACATGTAAGGGTGTACAATGGTATAGTTCAGTTAGTTCAGTGAGTTCGCACTGTATTGGGCCGAGTTAAGTCGATGTTTTGATATAACTACGGATTGAATATAATTCAATATGATACTTGATCTCAAGAACTTTTATAAATCCTGAAGAAAAGTGAACTGAATTGATATTTTGGACAGAACCACATCAAATCGAATGAAATGATGGTTTGGTGCTTGTCTTTAAGGTTCTTATATTAGTGGACCGACAACCCGCTCGAAAAACACTCATATACAAGCTCAATCTAATAGGTGATTAAAATACATTTAAAACATAATTTCATCACAAAATATCTTACAAATCAATACAATCTACGATCCGGTTTTACATACTTTTTTTTTTTTTTTTACTCCCATAAATGGGGTGTCTTACAAGCCAACATAAAATATTGGGCCCGACATCCACCCTTGAATGGCCATTTCCTCCAAGTGGTAAGTTGGCTTTCTACGAATTCATTCAGTCACAAGCCAGAAATGGAAACAACAAATTAAAAGAAAGTGGGAGGGGGATTTAGAATATCAGATTCCTGGTTACAGATAAAAAAAAAAAATATTGCTTTTCCCAGCCTGCAGCTGTTGCTTTAGGTGCTGGTACAGTGGTACTGTATCTGTGACTGAAGAAAGGAATTTTAACTGGGATCCACAACATCATCTGCATTGCTTTACAACTTTTCTAGACACCACCACCGCGAAAAAAACACAGAAAGACAGATTCAACACATTATTCTGCAACCTCTACTGCTACTGTCTACGTTACGTACGTGACGATCTTAGGACGACGGAGTAAGTAGTAGCTAATAGTGCCGCTGCTTCTGATGACGATTTGAGTTTCTTCGCACGAACCAAAAACAAGCAGCTAGAACGCTTTCGGCCTCACACGAATGCTGTACCACGAACATTATTACAGAAATGACAGCATCCATCAGTAACGACTCCAAACTCGTAGGTGCTTTCGGCTTGGTTCTGTACATGCAATTACCTTGCCAGATAAACCACTCCAAATTCTGTCTCGAAACCTCTCTCGTTACAATTCTCCCCTCCAACTATACAAGCGAAATTAGTTCGGAAGAACAGCCACGAACCCTCCTCTTGCTGCTGCTTGCTGCAAAAGCTATCCGTCATTATCGATTCTTTCAAAGTCCACTTTCTTCTCTTAACAAGCTAAATACCATGACCTTGCCAAGCTCCAACCTTCATGCTATGTGTTCTTTTGAATCAAAAAGATCTCTAACCACTTGCTGCCAAAGGTCTAATGCTCCGAGAAAGATACATCAATCACCTTCGCCTTCCATGATAGAATCCACCGCCAGAATGATAAATATGCCTATGACGTTGGGATCCAACACCTCTTCCACCACCACTTCCATCCCATGGCCCACTTCGGCCGCCAGATCTGCCGCCATGTCCACCACCGCTAGGGCTCCAGTTTGATGTCTGCTGGGGCCCGAGGCCATTGTTCTCCTCTTCTTCCCTGTCATTATACTCCAACACAAACCTCTTGATATCTTGTTTCTCTTCCAACTCGGCCGCTTCCATTTGTTTTGTGCTCTGCACGAGAGAGCAATCACTGGGAATATACATCTGTTTCGTCTGTTGCTTGTTGCCACGCTTAACAAGTACTTTGACTTTAACCTCCTTGCCACCTTCTCCAGCTTCCTCATCCAATACTTCATCACCTCCGCCACCACTTTCAGCTCCAACCCCTCTGCCATAATGATGATCCTTGGTGGATGATCCCTCAAACAAGTTCATCGGTATGACCATGTTAAGTGCTGGTCGACCACGCAAGTCCTGCCTCCGCTGCTCCATGCTCTCCTGTTTTTTTTTTTTTTTTGGACCATTGAAAGCTATTGGTGTTAATCATGCTGGCAATAGAAGTAATACACTTGCCAGGTGAAATAAACATCTACTCTTTAAGTTGTATCCCTAACAGTCACTCCTCAAAATCCACATATTTCATTATCATTAGACAGACAATCATCATCCCATCAATTTTCATTACTAAAAAGAATCTCACACCTCACACCTCATCAATTCGGTTGTTTCTAAAACGCATTTCAAACTTACTTTTTTCTCAACTTCTACTAAAACCTTGAAAGAAACAAACCCATTATAATGCACCGACTGATCAAGACTGAAAACAAAAATTTAAGGAGATTGTAGGATTCATTAGACACTGTCATATACCAGTCTCATGAAATGCATTTAAGAAGAAAATCAGCTTTAAAGTAAATATTAGAAAAAGACTCAAGGAAAAGTGTAACTCAGAATCTTGCCTGCATTACTGCCTTCAACTCCTGTTCAAAACTGGCCTCCTCCTCGGGGTCCACATTCGCTACCTTTTGTCTGATACGAACCTCATCATCCTCATCAGAACCAGGTGCATCCCTGTCATCATAATCCTCATCCGTGCCACCTTCATCATCATGGGTTTCTTCATCCATCTCGTCATCATGTTCAATTGTGCCACTACCACCTGAATCAGTGTCACTATCCAGAACATCCTCATGTAACCCGCCATTTTCGTCATCTCCATTCACAAGCCTTTGACCATTAGCAGAGGGGGCATTGTTGGAAAGTGTCCTGACAGGAGGCTTCCCAGTATCAGAGCGCCTTTCCCGTCTTTCGCTATGATGCTTTTCCGAAACATGACGTTCATTCTCTTCATGTTCTAGAAGAGCTGCATTGACTTCTTCAGCGGATGAGTACCGGATCATGTTAGGGCGCAAATCAGCAAATAAATCCTGTGCCAATTCAAATTGGAAAAAGAAACGATTAAGCAGAAGTGGGCAAAAAATAAAGCAACTTGGCTTTCTGTGGACATTACCCACTCCCTACTGAGAGTTCAGATGAAGCTATAGCTAGTAAAAGCCCCATCCAAACTTAAGGCACAAGGCAGTCCTCTCCACCTAAGTGTCAGGTGAATTAAGAAGAACATAGTAACAACTTAAAATGGAGGTACCTATAATATAAAACAGAACTTCCCAAAAACTGTGTGCACATCTATACTGCATAAATTGGCATACATTGAAGCAAGTTTGCCATCTTGCTAGTGTAATTTACATCCTACGATAACAGCTGATGTCTTACTTTATCTTCAAGATACTGAGATTACAGATGCTTCTCACTTTACTGCTTTTCTTATTTTCACCCCAAGCAATAAAAAGGGAGAAGACAATCGTAATTACATCCATTATTAGCATATGCTCTGTGATGTATTTAGAACCTGCCTTATCTTCAAGATACTAGTATTTTGGAGGTTGTGTCTTGACACAAGTTTGCTTCATTTACAGTCGTACAAAGCAATACAAGGGGGAAGAAAATGGGTTCAAGGCCGAAGAAAGGACAGAGCAGCTAAAGATAGAGAGAAAAATGAAACTAAATGTCATATTGGTGCCTAAAACACACAAGGTACCACTAACCTAGGAACATTTAAGGCTCAAAGCCAAAACACAACAAAGACACGGAGGAACATGCACTGCACTGTGCACCTAGCTCGGCTGCAATTTCAATAACTATGTTTGAGTGTTTGACAACCCCACTCACAGTAGTTGCTGGATTTGATCAATCCAACATGAATAAACGACACCTTAAGGAAAATAAGAGGGTGCAAAGAAACAAGTAATAACTAACCTGCAAGTCAAACTCAACATCAAGAGGAAGGCAACCTTTGCTGAGAATATAACGCTGGAAGTGTAACAAAAATCGATCAAGCTTCCTCCTTGAAGAACCTCGATCAAAGTAGTGTCCACATGTATCAAGGAGAGTGATAACCATCCTAATGCGGAAGCAATCCTCAGGTGGATCCAGCACATCTCTCTGACAAAATAAGACATCGAGCAAAAGATTGTTAACCAGAGCAACTGCAATTTTCATCTAATCTCACAAAAACCCACCAATACGTCAACCCACAAAAGAGGGACATTAGATTGCTTTAGTTACTTAAGAAGGCAGCCATTGGAATACTCAAGAAACATGACCAACTAATATGTAGACAAAGTGCCCCTAGGTACTACAAGGAACTGGTATTCAATGGCCAAAATTTCAGACAAGTAGGAACTGATTTAATACCTCAGGTGTGTCATGACCAAATACTACAATCAGATACAAAGTCTCAAAAATGACTGATGAATCCACATGCTCATAGTTATAAAGCTCGCCCAAGAAGCGCATATGTGCAATGCGTCTTTGCTGCATCCCATAGTCATTTAATTCTAGGCCAACTCTGATCTCCTCCAAAACCTGCAAGGCCAGCAATGATATAAATACTGTTCGGCGCCAGACATTCAACATAACCTTAGCTGCTAAAGCATAAAACAATACCACACCAGGATGAACATGGTGAACAGTGACGACGACTATTCGACCATGGTCTAAATGTCAGCTGTATGACTCATCTAATTACGAATTAAGGGATGACCTAATAGAGGTCCTGAAGCAGTGGTACAATTCAAGCTATGATTAATCGAAGTATTAGCAGTTTTCTAAGTAATTAAAAAAAACCTACACCAATTCCAATCTATCTTCAAATGATTATCCTAAATGTAACTTAGCTTTCAAAATTAAGCATTAGAGCCGGTATTATGAGAAATTATATCCCATCAGGCTACAAGAACATTTAAGTAGGAACAGCTGTCAGACCTCATCGACAACAGCAACTGCAAACTCATCATGATAGCGGCTTAGCCCGGCAGTGAGAGAAGCAATCAAGTGAATCTGCCCATACTTCCCCCGGTGAACCTTCAGAAAGCATTTCAAGAGATAATCCTCACATTCACTCCATGGCAATTTACGGAGTTGTCGCAGCACACGCTCGATGGAGGACTTATCCAGATCCGAGAATAGTAACTTTCGGATGTACTGCAAGCAGGACAAATAGAACATACAGTGTTAAACAAGGCCTACCCACGAAAACGAAGTAAAGGAATCATATTTGGAAATTGATCTTACTTGATGCAGGGGAGGGCGGACTTTAGACACCCGTGCAGATCTCTCAGGTGGTTTACACAGATAGTAAGCATTTTCTACAAGGGTGCTATGTCTAGGGTCCAAATTTTTCACATTTTTCAAGCGCATGAGTATTTCCAACATGTTGGCCATGCGCACAGTGGTTTCAGGAGACCTATATAGGAAGCGGCCGCAGGTCTCAAGAAGATTGCATGCAACATCAATATTGTGATGAGTAAATTCATCTAAACAGGCCTGCAAGAGAAAGTACCAACCTGAGTATTAAAATAAGCTGCAGGAACCAAACTGTACCATAAATGCAGTGAGACACCACAAAAACCACAACTGGCTCATAAATGAATATGAAAACGTAGTCATTGTTAAAAGATTGTGATGCCTGGTACAGAGATATGACAGGCCAGAAATTCACAGCAGTATCTGAAGACAATAAAACATAAAAGGGGTGTCCAAATATATATCGCAGGAGTTGGTCAGGAGGACTATTTTGGCTATGTCAACATGGTGCATACTAACATGCTGCTAGTTTACAAAGAGCTTCCTGTAATTATTATGTTAACACTAACAGCAAACACCAAGTTGAGTAATGGAGCTGCATGTGGAACTTCATTCATTATAGTAAGTAGTCTGATCGCCAAACAAATATATACTAACCTTCAAACAAATAAAAACCAAGCCAGCTGGTGCAACCCTGAACTTACATAACTCTCCAAGAAATCTTATATTCCTGACCTTGGTTTCGATGTTCATTTGATCCTAGTAAAAGAAAAAGAGAAGGGTTAGCATGTGATGAAGACAAGGATTTCTGAATAGCCATAAATGGACAAACTCCTGAATAACCAATACATACCTTTTTATTAATTAAGAAATTGAACTCCTCCTCCAGCATCTGTAAGAGCATGGACGACACATCCTTCATGCATGTTGACAATGTAGCAACCATGCGTGAGTAGTACGGTAACAATTCCAAAGATGTACGAGGTACATTAAACAATGCCCTCACAAGCTTTTTCCTGCTTGACTTTGAATTTAAATAGCAAAACTCTACCTGTCAACAAAAGAAAACAGAGTTAGAAAAGGAAAACGCTTATCAACTAAATCACATATTTCCTAGAAGCCATGCTTGTCCATTTACTGTAAAGCACAATCAGTCCATAGCTGAAATTGTAGGTTTTACAAGACATCAGGTCACTGAGAACATGTTTGTATGTATACCGTCAGTTGATCAATTAAGTCGCGGCTCACACAACCAGGAAGCCTTTGCAGAAGAGCATCCAAATTTGTCCCCTCAACACCTTTGAGCTTCTCCTTCTCATTTTCACCTTTCTTCTCACCATCTTTATCTTTGCCTTTCTCTTTCTCCGTGTCTTTACTTTTATCTTTCTCTTCTTTCTCCTTCCCCTTATCCAGAACTTTTGAGTCAATTAGAATACCAGATTCACCAGGAATCTCAGTGGTTTCTTGTGTAGGTTGGCCTTGATCAGCTTCCAGAGATGACTCCTGAAAAGATGTCAAAATTATCATATCTGAACAAGTAACTAATTGAAACTTCAAGCCTGCTAATTCATCCTAGCTCACTGCCAAACATGTGCATTGAAGGAGACTCCTTTGAACAGATTTGAATACATAGATCGGAACTGAGACATTTGCTCATTTTTCAATCATTAGTCTGAAATTCTGCTAATGCTTTCTTTGCAAGAGAGAATTCTTCTAGATATTATGTCACTGCTAAAATTTTGAATTCCTTACAGCAGGCTGCTCTTGAGTCTTTGCAGATTGATCATTGGCTTTGCCTTCTGACTCTCCCAATAAAACAGCAGGAACGAATGCTCTGAAAGGGAAATATAGAATGTCCTGAGATGTAAGATGTTTCAAGTCTCCTCCCAAATTCATTAAAAAAATTAAAATCAGCATGTTCTCTGTCACATCATGAGCATTGTAGAGAGGAAAACCTTAGATCTGGTAAGGACTCGTAGAAGGCTCTGGTATCTTCATCATCCCACAGGGGTTCAGGAACAGAGGATTCTTTGCCAGCAGCAGGTGACGAGGCATCCTCCCCACTAGTAACCCTCGTTGTGTGTGCATCCTCTGGCATTACTGGGGGTTGCATATCCAAGGCTTCAGCTAATCTATGAATTAAGAAGTGTGGGATTGTAAGAACTTCAGTGACATTTCTCCCAAACCCAAATACATAATTATTCATGCTAAGCTTCAGAAAATGGGACAATGACTCTAAATAATATCGAGGGCTTGCAAGAGACTTCCGACATTTCATCTCAAATGATCTAATTCGAAGTACTTCACAAAAGCAGACAATGACTGAGCTTTAGCAATCCCACTGAAAATGACTGATCATCAAGCGCATAAAAAAGTATATGCAGGGAATAGACCCACGGAAAAGGAAGTAGTCGCAGTGTGATTGATACAACTGAAAGAAGGAAATACAACAAGCCCCTACTACCCTCACTTTACAGGGACTCATATGCATCTAACTTCAAATTTTACGATCAGTAACATACAATTCATAGGCATCAGAATGCGCCTAGAATCAGCTAGGGCGCTCTTTATGCTGCAATACGCCAACACTACGCAAAAGCCAATTTAAAATAATCACTTCCGGCAAAGAAATAAGCATCTTCACGAAGACATATGCAGCCTAACCAATCCTGTCATTGATTCAGTTGAAAGGCCAACTTAAGGTCTTCAAATAGCTTAAACCCCATCAGTTAACTCATCTTAGTTCCAAAACTGTTACAGTGCAGTTATAAAAAAGAGGGTGAAAGAGCAACTAGAAAATATTAGCACAAACATCCATCTAGACGGATTTCTGTTCATTCAAAGTCAGCAAAGTATACAGCAACGCAAAATTAACATTAGTCAGACTCATTATATCAAGTGATAAGTAGAAAACAGAAAGCATCAACAGACTGCAGAGTGTAAGATTTCAATACGCTAAGGTGGAAACTACCATGGTCGTAAAAAGTTTAAGCTGTATCTAGCAAATACCAAAGAGATATATACAAATAAAATAAAATGACATGACCCGGAGTACTTACGATGAAACATTGCGATATAAATGGTCATATGATTTTCTTAGCTTCTCATATGATGAGGCATGTTCATCACTCAGCTCCCCTTTAGCATTCAAAATCTTAGCATTTTCATGCTCCATCTGGCGAAGGGACTATTAAGAAAAGAAACTAATCAACCATTTTACAGATTAATGAAGCAGAAGATTGCAATAATAAACAAACAAGCACATTAGTTTGCGTATTTGTAGAAAGAAATGGGGCCCAAAAGTATTAGATAAAATTAAAAACATTAAAAGAGAAGCCCTTATCTCAGATACCAAAGCAGAAGACTCTTACTGCATGCTCAGATTGAAGAAGTTCTGAAACAGCATCATGATAAGCATGAAATGGCTTCCTGAACATTTTCCTCTGTTCTGGCGTGATATTAAGACCTCTGAAAAACTGCCATTAAATTACCAGATCAGCCACAGAATAATAATGGGATGTAAGCTGACGCTAAAAACAAATTCCAAATTCCTAAAGAATAAATTACTCAGATATCTGCTAGAAGTACCATGACAGATTCATAGAATCAATAATGATAATTAAGAGTAATGAAAAAAGCACCCGAAAATTATGTGGACAATATGAACAAGTGGAACTCAAAGTAAGTTGTACCTCTTCCTCAATTTCATGTCCAGAGAATGGAAGCCCTAAAAACACTCTCCCTTGCCGAGCAAAACTAGCAAGCAATGTCAGATTGGTTTGAGTAGCATCCCGATCCTTTAAGTGTTCTGAGCTAGTAAGATCTTTAACTATACTGATAAAGACACTGCAGTCTTCTAGAACGCCGACAAAATAAAGTTCTAAAAGCAGTTTCAAAGTGCTCCTTTTTTTCATGGCCTTGGAATTCTTGTCCGTATCCAAGTCTTCACCTGATTTTGAAGGAAAGTAGACCTTCAAAAGTCCTTGTACCAGGCTTGGGGAGAAATCTTTGTAGCGTTGATGAAGCAACGAGCAGATCTTGGTTGCATAGAAACATATCAGAACAGCTTCATTTAGTCAAAAGGCAGGAAATGAAAAATAAAATTTAAAGGGAAAAATCTTGATCTGGAACTATAAAATGGTACCTGCACTGCAGCTTGTATGTCGGAACTTCTAAGTTTTGCATCACATATAGCTGTCACCGCCTCACTAACAAACTTGCTAAGGTTAACGTTTCGCAAGTCCTCCATCAGCCCTTCTCTCTGCTCTTCATTAATCTGCTTTAATTTTTTAATAACTGTTGTGTTGCGTTTTATGCTAGAATCTAATGTCCTGAGGAACCCTGAGTCTGAAATGATGATAAAAGAATGAACAATAATAAAGCAGAAATCAATGACACAGCCACAAATGAATACATTGTAGAGACCTCAAACATTTTCCTTCAAAAAATCAAATAATTACTCAATGCAAATGCATACATGCTAGTACAAATACTACAAGAAGACAAGATATTAGTGCCAGATTGCCCATCAGAACTGGTTTCCCATCGGATTATTGACATGGTTACACGCAGAAGACATTAACTTTATTGGAGACTAACAATCATCAGTCCTTAACACAATCCTAAACAATTGACGGTGAGTTCTGCTGCAAGACCTTTTAGCTAATTTAATTTAACTAGAAGTTCGTGCCAAAGATGAACATGACGTGGGATATTTGAAAAGATGAATTCTATAATCTTTTCCACTACCTCAATTTTTTGGAGTTTCTCCCCTTAGATCCCTCGTGTTCCAAACTTTCTTCCACCAGTTTCACATACTTAACAACAAGACAAATCATTTGCTTACTAACATCACAATTACAGTGTATCATAATAACTATCAGAAGCACTAGGAAACTAGTTCTCATTCACGGCTATATATATATATGGATGGATAATACAAACGAAAGTTAGCAACAACTTAATGGGAGGGAAGTAGAAGATATAATATTTCCTATCCACAAACATATTTTACTCGTGACAAGCAGATATTCTGGCTGAGTAATAGAGCAAGTAATCTACTAAAATCTCGTAGGGAGACTAACCAGGCCTTTCCGGATTCAGATTACTACGACGAAGGGCAATTTTAGCCTCCATTGATTTCTTCATTTCCTCAGATCGAGCAACAGCTTCCTGACAAAGGACGCCATAAATTTTTTCAAAGATATCAGATTCCATGTAATAAAGAAAGAAGTTCAGTCACCAAACGAACAACAAATCTCTCTAACGTTTGCAATAACAAATTTCTCAACACACCAAAGAAGCCATTTCTAACAGGCTAGCTAAATCAGCAGCAACGTCCGAGTATTATATCCCAAGGACTTCCAAGCGTCGACAGTTACGCCTTACTCGAGAATAAACAAGCTCACCGTGGAGCAAAATAACCGTACCGATACAGTAGGGATTAAGGAAGAGTAATTCTCACCTCGTCGTCCTGCTTGCCATTATGCTCGCCGCTTCCAGCCCGCGATTCATCATCATGGTGCTCCATATCCTAAAGCACAATCAGAAACCAGGCAATGAAGAAGGAGAATATGATTAAGACATTTGCATTGACAGCGACAAAGCTCACTCAAAGAAACCCTAGCGGATCAAGTGACAGTCAGAAAAAAACATATTTTCCACCAACGGAGCGTTCACCTGATCGGAAACTGAGCGACACGGGCGTCGGCCAGGAGTGACAGTCGGAATTCAACAGAGGATGGCGGGGGAAAGGATTGAACCTTTCCTGGGATTGAGCAGAATCGAAGTTTGAGAAACTAAGAGAGCAAAGAGACAAACCAACTAAAGCCACCAGGGCACATATATAATAAAATTAAAATTGAGGATGCTCCCGGTCACGGGTCAACCCGTTTGGCTAACCGTTTCTTTCCTCCCTCGTTCTGGTGTCAAATGGGTCGGGTCGACCAAGAGTATTTGGACTATTTTCCTTCTTCTAAATATGGTTTCATTTTCCCCAAAGGTTTTTTTTTCCCAAGAAATGTCAAGAGAGAAAAAACTATATAATCTACCCCAAAACTCTCCCAAACCAATACATCAGTGAAGCCACCCTACAAAGTCGAAGGAACCGATCTCAAGAGAAGAAAGTAATAGGACTTTATGCGCCACTCTATAGGCAGCCCCATTGGCAGTTCAAGGAACTGCCCTAAACTCTTAAGGAAACAGAAACTGAAGACAGGGGCTGGAAGCAATCACGAAGCACCGGACCTCCGAGGGAATCTGAAGAAATGCCCTGGCGAAGCTGACGAATCACCACTTCTGAATCACCTTCGATGATGACACAAGGAAGGGACTTGGAGACCAAGAGGGAGATAGCGTCTCGAGCCGCAAGAAGTTCTACGAGGTAGGGGTCAACAATGCCTGGGTGCTGGAACCCTATTGCCAACGCCACATGCCCATCTGTTGCACGAACCACTAGTCCAGACGAGCAACCAGAAGCACGAACCGCAACATCAAAGTTGATCTTCAGATAGCCAACATGATGAGGGATCCAGGAGGTGAGGCGGGAGCTTAAGGGCTAAAGGGGAGGGACGGGTACCGGAGGGAGAGAGGAAGAGACTTGGAAAAAGCATTGACGAGCTAGAGACTGGGCATGAGGCTGATAATGCTCAAATACCACCTTATTTCGAGACTTCCAGATTCTCCACAATACGCAAACGTATAGGAGAACGTGGGTTTAGGGGTGCTCAGAAAGCATAACATGTCGCCACCAGAGACTGAAATTCATAGTCGGTGTCGAGGTTTTATTAGTTGCGAGCTCTGTCCCACAAGCTTGAGCAAGCTGGGGCTTATCATTTAAGAACTCACTATAAATAGGTTGTTAATATTCCTCTCATCCCAAAACTGGGGAGGCTATTAAAAACCCTACAGACCACTCAAAGGACACGTCAATGTTCCTTTTGTTCACCATGCTTAGGCTTAGGACGTTATTAATGGGGAAATAGGTTACAAGCTCAATAATTGGCTTCTTAAACTCCTCTCCCACATTGAATTTGATCTATGACATTATGACATTTTAGTATTCCTTCATCTAAAACATGAGATGTAAACCGACCATTAATGGTTGTAAAGCAACATAAAGAGATATTTTTTCATCCCAAAATGAAAATTTAAACAGACTATTCAAAGTTGTAAAACGCCATAAAGAGGTCGCTTTAATGACTCATTTGTATCGTCTCATTGAAAACTTCTTGCCGACGAGGCCAATTGCCAGTAAGGGAGGCCTACTGGTTTTAGCAACAAGGACATGATGCTATCCAAATTGAGTATTGGTGAAAAGAAAATATGAATAATAAAACAAAAACTCGACGACACTAATTATAAATAATTGTCAACCCAATTCCCCATAATTATTGACTACACTCATACATTCTCCTAATTAATTTGAAAATTAATAGGATTAATTACTGCAATCTCAAGCCCAAACATGGAATGATACTTGTCAATGCGAATTAAATTCGCCTTCGACCCTGCCAACGGGAACCATTCCAACGACGGAACTTGGCCGCCAAGCGCTAGTCTTAATCACCAAAAAATTGGGATTTCAAAATCGATATCGGAGATGAGTCTGCCGTAAGAGGATTCATAGAGGACACTCTCATTCAACGTTAAAAATAAGAATTGAAAGCTGAAACATTCGCCCAGAAGCATTAAACATTTCCATTAATTCATTTATGCTAGTAAAATGGAATACAAGGGAGTTATAGCCCTACATAAAGACCATTTGCTCCATTATTTTGTAATCGTCAAAAAGCCAGTAACGCTGCCTGAGCTAAGCTCCGGTGCCCACAAGCACCATCATCAAGGTGGTTTCCGGAGATAGTGATAGCCAACGCATGAAAGCTAGAAGCCTTCTAAGCGATCGTCTCGACACTCGATGTCGGTAAAGATAGTCTCAAAAGACGGACCACCCAAGAGTTCCAAATAATTGGGGATTAGCCGGCGACATGACCGTATTTGGCTATTTGCCTTTCCCATAAACAGGAGGATAGTCGCAGATGGAAATGGAGGACTCAAATTTCCAAGTTGGCTATTTGGCATTCGCAGCAGAACCCATTAGACCCATCGTTGAGAGAAAAGCTTACCAGCCAGACGGATAAGGAAGTTGCAGTGGTGCTAGTGAGGTGAGCAATCTTCTCGATCCTCCCTCTCACCGCTGTCTTCACCTCTCCGGCCATCTCCTTCCCGGTGAACCCATCGTTGCACGTGTTCTCATTGGTCAACGCTGTGCTGACCCACGTCTGGACGTCGCTGATCATCATCTGAAACTCGGCGGGGGATCTGTGGGCGCCGACCAACTCGTCGATGGGTTGAGTCCAAGAACAAGAAGACGTGCGTTGGAAGGAAAATGGAATTGACTACTGAGGAACTATGTTGGCTTTTGAGATGATTCCCCCTCAAGGATATAACAAGAGAACATTATAAAAGAAACCAAAACAAAAATCTCAATTAAGAAACTCGTGATACATTAGTGAAGTCCTGCTGATAAAATGAAGGAAGCTAACTTCAAAAGAGACAATAATTAGGCTTTTACGAGCAATGAGCAACCCAAGTTGTGGTTTATAGGATCGTCCTAAAAACTATACAGTTGAAAAGAGCAGAGACGAGCTGACGACAATCATGGAGCAAAGGCATTCCAAGCGATCTGCCATAACATCTTTACGAATGTGACGAACCACCACCTCATAATCATCTTCCAAGAATGCACGAGACAACATTCAAGAAACAATAACTGATAGGGCTTCTTCAACAGTAAGAAGCTCCGCAACTCATCAACCGACAACCTTATTGTGTAATCAACAGTGCAAATAATTTACATACGTTGTAAGGCTTCATGGTGCCCTAACTTACGAATCTTGGGGTATTGGTTCCTTAAGACATTTGTGCTTAGGTAGTTAAGTTATGATCGTTTGACTTTGGTTGACATTTCTCAATTAACTTTTTGTTAACAGTGAAAATGCATGAATGGGATGACATATGACTTATACGAGTGCAATTATCGTTGCTTTGGATGGAATTCATGTTATGGGATACCATCATTCATCTAGTATCTGAGATTGTATCCATGTTAACATTGGATGATACCATTTACGTACAATTGGTATGGCGATCATGTATAATGAGATGGTACCATCCACCTAAGAATGTCATGGTTACAATGGGATTGGATGGATGGTAACATAAAACGGATGGCTAATACGGTTATAGAATGTTGGATGGTCATCTTGCACCCAACTACTATCCATACAAAAAATATGATCCAACTAGGCGATCATGACATTTTGCTATGTTACTAGCCATACATTTTGCTTTGTTTATATTTGATGTACACATCTTTTCCTTTGTTTATGACTTTACGCCATATTGTGGCACATCGAGTTGGAAAACACAAATCCTCAGCTTTCCAACAAGGTTTACTGTCCAAAAAAATCAACCAAAGATTTTCTTGCATCTCTTATCAAATAAGTTGCACATCTCGGCTAGCTGGTCCTTGAAGGGGACATCGATAGTAGAAGAAAACAAGTACCACTAGCTCGCCACTTAAGAAGAATCGAAGGCATAGAACCAATGTTCATAGTTACCACCTCCTTCTGCTGCCACCGACATCGTGTTATGTAAAAATTAACAAACAAATATGAGATGAAGATACTCAAAAGGTCATAATAGCTATGTGGTAACTGGTAAGAAACATGGAGTATTATAGTAGAGATTATCAGGTTCATTTGTAACAAAAGATACTCAAAAGGTCATAGTTGCAACTATAATGGTGATGTTATTTGTTGCGCTGACATTAAATATCATATTTAAATATGAGTATTTGTTAGTTTATTTTAAATATTAATATAAATAATAAGTAATTTATTATATATATTTGTTTTATATTTTATTAAACCGACATGAAGCGGTACAAATAGGGATGGCAAAAATATCCGTAATCGTGGATATCCGCCCGAACCCGGCTTAATCGGGTAGGGTAAAACCCGAATCCGAAGGACATTTAGTGGGTACGGGTAAAACCCGAACCCGAATATTGCGGGTAATGGGTGGGCATGGCTTTCTCAGTATCCAACCCGAACCCGCCCGATTATATACATACATATGTATTTTGTATAGAAATAATCATTATTTTTCTCTAACATATTTTATATTTAGCATATAAATATAATATTTTCATGAAATTGTGTTGTTTTAATTAATTTTCTTCATTCTAGTGAATTACTGTCATACTTTTCCTCTTGCGTAATGTGAGAATACGTGTGAATGTTAACATATTAGTTGGAGTTATGATGAGAAATCATTTCCCATGGATAACCGTGGATACCCGAAACCCGAACGGGTATGGGCATGGTTTTAATTTTCTACCCGTTTTATATGTGGGTATGGGTATGAGTAAAACCCGAACTACTTTGGGTAGGGTAACGGATATGCACTATCCGTCCCCAACCCGACCCATTGCTAGGTACAAACATGATATATCACCGGTCGAATCATATTATTTGCTAAATCGGTCCAGCGGTAGAAACCAGTTGGACAACCTTGCGGCTGAGCCGTCCTACCGGTGAGCTCTGGTCCGCACTTGGTGAACAGCTCGATAAGATAAGCCAGACCCAGTCAGTACAGAAAAAACACTCTCCCTTGCGACAATGGAGACCGCCCTCTGCTCCTTCCCTTCCTCCAAGCCCCCGCCTTCGACAATCCAATTCCGCCCTTCAAACCCATTCTCACTCTCTTTCCCGACCACCACCGCGTCCACCTCCACCTCCTCCCTCCGCCGCGGCGGCCGCCGCTCCCTCACAATCAAATCCGCCATTTCCCGCAACAAGAAGGAAGAAACCGTCGACACCGTCAAGACCCAGCTAGAAAACTGCTACCTCCTCGCCGCAATCCGCTACAAGGGTTTCACCGTCAAGCAGTTCCAGGAGCTCCGTCAGTCGTTGCCGGAGAATTCCAAGCTGATTGTGGCCAAGAACACTCTCGTATACAAGGCAATTGAAGGCACACCCTGGGAGGCACTGAAGCCTTGTATGACTGGTATGAATGCTTGGCTGTTCGTCCACACCGAAGAGATCCCCAACGTGCTCAAGCCCTACAGGAGCTTCCAGAAGGAGAAGAAGCTGGAGGACAACGATTTCAGCGGAGGGGTTTTTGAAGGGAAGTTTTACGGGCCCGATGAGTTCAAGCAGCTGGAGACGATGCCGTCGAGGGCGGAGATTTATGCCAAGCTGCTGGGTTCGTTGCAGAGCCCGGCGATTGGGTTGGTGACTACTTTGCAGGCGCCTGCGAGGGATGTGGTTATGGTTCTCAAGGCTTATGTGCAGAAGTTGGAGGAAGAACAAGCCGGCGGCGGTGGCCAATAGTTTGATCGATTCCTACCCTTTTTTTGGTGTAAGTGTAAGTTCTTCTTTGGGTCTGAGAACTCATAGTTTGTAGCCTGCCTGTTTGGTTGAATTGTTGTAGCAAAATTTGGAGTATCCCAATGGCGAAAATGCTTGTGAATTTTGTAATTGACATTTGAATAGTGATACCAATTCAATTACAAATGTGGTTATGACTTGTAGTTGTGACTTCTCGAGTGCTCTGTGACTGATTGATTTTGCAGTGGAGCTCTATGCAACTAGTTGGATAGCATTTGCTTGAAGATGTGAAGTTGTGTTATGTGTTAATTTCCTTTGTGCACTGTTTTGGTAGTGAAGTAGTGGAATTTCTGCAATTTGATGGCTTGTAGCTGGGGGGTTGATTGTGTTCTTAGGTTATGGTGGAATCTATTGAATGAGAGTTACCAAATTGTGTACATGGCTTTCGCCTAATCGATTCTGTGCACCGGCATAGGGCTAAGTCGGCTCCTGGTTATGCTTGGCATATCAGACATGAGACTTGTGCCTTGTTTGCAAATGACTGATATTCATGTTCTGCATCTATGAAGCACATGCCAGGCTAATGATTGTCGCGACTTTCTGGAATACAGTTACTCTAATCACAGTTTGTTGTCACATTTCAGATTTTCAGTCCCTCCTGTGAGTTCAATTTGCTGTTTTTGGAAGTTAAGATAAACGCTTTCATTACTTCTGACAGTATCTCCAAGGGTTCATGGTTGTTTTGTGTGAGGTTTGATCTCTTTGTCGGTTGGAATTCAGAAGAAGATCATCTAAGCGAGTGAATTGCAGTGCTTTTATGCCGTTTTGTGCTTACGAAATTGCAACATTCTTCCCTACTCTGCGTTCGGAGAACTGGGGTTATTCTTTTGGTGTTCTGTCTGTTCTCATCTCCTCTTTGATTTTGCAAATGAATTGGTCTGTTTCTGGAGTTGATATAGTAGTAACGTTTCATAAGCATTGGGACACACCAGTTTCATAAGCATTGGGACACACCAGACTCTCTCAAGTTCTTGCTCTTCTATCGAAACGGGTTGGGTTAATCCATCGACGAGAATCGTTGACGCGGGAAAGAACAGTCTCCATGTGTGTTTGATGAGTTAGTTTACTCACAGGCCAGCAGAAACAAGCTGCTAATTATGTGCTTTCTGCTTACTGATGAAGCAGTTCAGCAGTCCCTGTGGTGTCATGATTCTAAGAGGCCACCAAAGCCAATTGAAGATTGTTTTGTATTATCAGTTAATTAGCTGGACAATTCAACTTTCTTCTTTGTGATTCGATTCGAATTCTGGTCATTAAATTTAGATCATAATCCTGATTGAAAAACTGGGAAGAACAGTCAATCTGGTCATTAAAAATTCCGTCTTTTGATATTCTCCCTCCAATTTTAAAACCCATTTACCCAAACAGGCCCTTAAGAGCTCAGTAGCTCCATTCTCCATTTATTCCTCTCTTCTTCTTCTGGAGGACGATACAACAAATCCCTCCAAACAACATTTCTCAACCGCCGGAAACAAAATCCGGCAGCGAACAAGAATTCCACCGCCACCACAGCTACCTGAAAACCTCCCAAGAAAAAGTTCCCCCTAGATTTTCTGTGACTGGTGAAAATGGCGCCGGTAGATCCTCACTCCTTCACCGACTCAGCTCACCCGCTCACCACCCACGTCGCCCTCTCCCTCTACTTCGACTTCCCTTCCTCCACCATCCACGCCGCAGCGCTCCTGACCCTCGCCGCGCCTTGCTCCGGTCAGCTATCCCTCGACGCCCGCTCCCTCGCCATCCACGGCGTCCTCGACCCTCAAACCCTAGCCCCGCTCTCATTCACTCTCTCACCTCCCGACGCCGTCAAGGGCTCACTCCTCTCCGTCGCGCTCGACTCCCACGCCTCCGTCCTCGTCCTCTATTCCACCTCACCGGATTCCTCCGCCCTCCAGTGGCTGTCGCCGCCGCAGACGTTCAACAAGACCCATCCCTTCGTCTACACTCAATGCCAGTCGATTCACGCGCGGTCGGTCTTCCCATGCCAGGACACACCCGCCGCTCGCATCTGTTACTCCGCGAAGCTTAACGTGCCGCGGGAGCTGTCGGCGGTGATGTCCGCCAGGCACGCCGGCCGCCGCGATCCGGTTGCCGGGGACGTGAGCGAGGGGTTTAAGAAAGGGGGTTCTGCCGCGGGGCTCAATTTAGAGTCTCTGTGGTGTGGGGATAGGAGAGTGGTGGAGGAATTTGTTATGGAGCAGCCGATTCCGCCGTACTTGTTTGCTTTCGCGGTTGGGGAACTGGGGTTCAGGGAAGTCGGGCCGAGGACGAGGGTTTACTCTGAGAATGTGGCCGGAGTGTTGGACTCGGCGGCCAGTGAGTTCGCCGGGACTGAAGAGATGATCCGGCAAGGGGAGAAGCTGTTTGGGGAGTATCCGTGGGAGAGGTTTGATTTGTTGGTGTTGCCGCCAAGCTTTCCATATGGTGGAATGGAGAATCCCAGGATGGTGTTCTTGACACCGACGGTGATCAAAGGGGATGCAAGTGGTGCTCAGGTTGTGGCGCATGAATTGGCTCATAGCTGGACTGGCAACTTGATTACCAACATAAACAATGAGCATTTTTGGTTGAATGAGGTACGCATGATGATCCGGTATTGCTATGTTGAGTTTTTGGATAGCTTATAATAGCTTTCTTGATAGTGAATGCCTTAGAGATTACTGACTGTTTGCCACTGAATGGATGTTTCAAGTTTGAAGGTTTATGTCCATCTCAAGATTGTATGAACATTCAGAAATCCAGTTTCCACTTTTAGGGGTCATTTGGTAGTTGCACATCTAAATGATATATTCAATTTCAATGAATGCATGTACTGTGCAGAATGAGGTGGTTTTGGTATGAAACTCAGACAATGAGAAACCGTGTATCCTCAGATAACCTTGTATTCTTAGAGTCATAGAGAACAATCCCTGCCTACCAAGTGACCCCTTACTGATTATTGCTTCTGTTGTAATGTAATTCTACCTCATTTGGTGGCAGGGTTTTACAACATATGCTGAGAGGAGAATTGTTGAGGTTGTGCAAGGAGAAGAAAGAGCTATTCTGAGCATGGGAATTGGTTGGAGGGGTCTGAACGAGGAGATGGAGAGGTTTAAGGACAACATGGAGTTCACAAAGCTCAAAACTAATCAGGAAGGAATTGATCCAGATAATGTGTATTCTCAAGTTCCTTATGAGAAGGGTTTTCAGTTTCTTGCTCGAATTGAACGCCAGGTAAGGTCAAGTTAAGTAAGTCATTGTTTGTTCCTGGTGTTGATATGTGAGAGAGATATTCATCATGGTTCTGTTGGTTTCCGGTTCCACCAGATTGGAAGATCTGCATTTGATGAGTTTACCAAGAAGTATATCGAAAACTTCAAGTTCAAGTCAATTGATACTGAGACATTTCTTGAGTTCCTGAAAGCAAATGTTCCTGGAATAGAGAAGGAGGTTGACCTAAAATTGTGGACTGAGGGTACTGGCATCCCTCCTGATGCGTATGAACCAGTCTCTGACTTGTACACTAAGATAGTTTCACTTGCAAATGAGTTTAAGCTCGGAAAGATACCAGGGGAGGATGAAGTTGCCACTTGGCAAGGGCAAGAATGGGAGCTCTACTTAGAGAACCTGCCCAAATGTGTTGAAGCCTCTCAGGTATTACTACACTTCCTGGCTATTTTCTTTGGCACTTGTCACCATTTCCTTCTCTTTCCAGTAGTTTCCTAATTAAATCTTAGCAGTGTCTTTCATTGCCTTCATTTGGTTATATAGCCAAAATTTTCATGCTGAACTCCGAAAATAAGTGGAAACGTTTCATCTTTTTGTGTGTCCTTTACATTCTGCTGCATCTTAAACTTTAATGTTGGCATTTGGATCGTTAAGGTTAACTCAGAGTTTATGGATTGTGGGTTGTTGAGACTAGTTGATTGTTTAGAATACATGGATAGTGAAATAGATGGATTTTGAAATGGATGATAGGTGGGTGGGTTGTGGAAATGTTTTGATTGTGCGTGATGGATCGCTGGAATAGTTACAGAGAGTCGATTATCCTTGCATTTACAAAGAAGTGAAAAAAAAAAAAAAGGGTCAAACACACCCCCACCGCTACTTTATACAATCCATCAGTCCCAGCAATCCATCATGTCTTTGTGTTTTTGCCACTCTGAATTCTGTCGACTGTTCTTCCTAGATGGATTGTGTGAATGCTACAATCAATCCACAAACCCATCATCCAGATAACCCCATAGTACTCTTTCCATCTGTTCTCTTACAACTTCTATCATGTGAGTGCAGGTCTTAGCCTTGGATGCTCGCTACCGGATGTCAGAATCAAAGGACTACGAGGTGAAAGTAGCATTCTTGCAAATGGCGATTTCATCCAAGTGCAGAGATTACTACCCTGAAGTTGAGAAGACCTTAAAAGAAGTGGGGAGGATGAAGTACCTACGCCCGCTCTATACAGCTCTTGTTCAAGGCAGCGGGAACGAAGAGGAGAAGATCCTGGCCAAAAGGCTGTTTGCGGAGGCTCGCGAGTGCTATCACCCAATTGCGCAAGGTGTCGTCGAATCAATCCTCGCCAAGAACCTCTAGAAGGCAGAAACAAACTGAAGAAACCTTGCATACTCTGCATATGGGGTGATGAATTTGAGTAGTAGTACTAAGTATAACCTCTTTTTTTTTTGTAAGTTTGGGAATCTTTAACTTGGTCCAGTTGACGAGTCGTGCTATCTGGCGATTGGCCGACCTAAGTATCGAAAGAATAGGTACTTCTTCGGATCGTAATGAGGGTTTGAGAATTCTTGATGAGCTAAGGCTGAACAGTATCTTAGTTTTTTTTCGTTCCATAACTATTTGGTATGAAGTATGAACTACTTTCGTATGTTTTTGTTCAAGAAGTTTGAAGCAAGGTTGTCCGAGTATCGTAGACTCGCCAAGAGATGCAGATTGACATGATTTGTGCCAATTTTGTTGAAGGCGTGGAAACTCGAGAGAAGAATCCGACGAAGGTTACAAATCAACGATCTTCTTCTTCTTCTTCATCGATTCATAAATCAGAGTGATCTCATTGTTTTCATTTGGTCTAGCACCACATTCCATACACATTTTCAGTCTTTTATGAATTGACATGCTAAAGAAAATGATCTTTTGTGTTACGTGTTTCGTTTCAAAACGGTTATAATATAACATACAAAAAATTTATCTCGTATTAAGGACAAAAACAAAGTAAGAAGTCATAAACAAAATTTCCAAACAACGATCATTAATTAACTGTAACACAATCAAACGAACTACATTAATAAATCGTCATCTCGTATGGAAACCAATATATCCAACTAATGGCTTCATAAAACCACAAACATATCCTTGAGGTGAACGAACAGGCACTATAATTATAACTCTTTTTTCACCCTCTTTGGGATTAGAGATGGCAATTTCGACCTGACCCGTTTTAGCCGATCTGTTTGACTTATTTTGGGGCAGGTCCGACCCGCCCCGTAGGCGGGGCAGGGCGGGCATGGGTACCTCTAGTCGATCTGACCTACCCTGACCCATTCTCGACCCGTTCTTGCCTAAGTTCATGTAATCTTAGTCAAATTACTTAGAATTTTCTTTATATTACCTCATTATTTAGCTATAATAAAGTTGTAAATAAGTGAAAACCTCAATTTCTCCAATACATCAACTACAATTTATCATATTATGGTTCATTTCTTGGTCTTTTAATGAAAATAATGAATATTTTTAAAGATTTTCACATAAATAACATACTCATTGAGTCGACCTACCCCAACCCACGCCCCATGATAAATTACCCGACCTAGACCCGACCTACTACGGAACAGGTATGGATATCGAGATACCCGGCCCGGACTTGCCAGTTGCCACATTGTCATTCCTATTTGGGACTTCTTTTGAAGAAGTAATTTTCATCATTAACAAAAACAAAGCAAGCATACGCTTCTTCTCTCCTCTCGGCGCTATCTCTCCCAAGAAACAATCCTCCCTCTGCCTTTTTTGTTTCCTTTCGTTCCTTCATTCGAAATAAAAAAATCAAAACTGAACCACCATTTCATTTCCCTTGGTTCTAATTTAACTGCCACCGCGCTTGAGCAAGAGCGAGGGAGAGAGAGGGAAGCGAGCGAGCGAGCGAGAAGAAAAATGGACGACTACACGAGAGAGATGATGGACCTCAAGACCCTCGTCACTCGAACACTCGAGAAGAAAGGTGTTCTCGCTAAGATCCGGGTCAGTTTCGCTTTCTTGCATCTTTTCAACGTCTGCAATTTCATTTTGCCTCCCCGATCTCGATGGTTGTGGGGTCTTTCTGATTTTTCTTTCCTTCCCATTGCAATCTATTTTTGATACTCCTGGTAGGGCAAGGAAATGTGGATGGTTGAACATTTTTTTTTTTGTTGCTTCCCTTGTATTTAGGGTTCTAGCATTTTCGCCCAATTTTGTTAATTTCGTCTATCGTGAGGCTGGACCTGTTTAGAATAAAGTTTGAATCTTTTGTTTGATCACCGAGCACCGGAAACTTTGTCAAATCTAGGGTTTTCTTTGAATGCTTTTTTTTTTTGGGTAGTCTTGGCCTGTATTTGAAATGCAACGTAGTTGTTGGTGGCTGTACTTGAATGGTTAGACTTTGTTGTCTAGGGAATATGCTTTCTCCTTCCTTGATGGAGGTTAATCGGTAATGTAGAGGAGCTCTTACCCAAGATTTTTCACCGTGGCTTATGTGATGTGATGTGTTCTCTTGTACTCCATTCATGTATCCTTATTCTCATGTGATTGTGGGGTTTACGTTTATAGGCGGAACTCAGAGCAAGTGTCTTTGAAGCAATTGAGGAGGAGGATAGGGTAGTTGAAAATGAAGAAGGCTTGCCACCTGCATTGCTGGGTAGCTGCAATGACCGCGCTAAACAACTTCACGCTTCCCCATCAGGTTACTATCTAGGCTTGGTCGATCGCTTTGTATGAAATTGGGGTTGGGAAGGGAACTTTCAGTTTGATATCGTTTCCTGTTGAAATTGACAAATGCTTAAATTTTCATTTGCTTTACACCAGAACTGTTTTAAGTCTCAATCGTTTGTTTCTCGTGCGTCGAGGAGTTGGATAGTCTGCTACAATCTCCTATGATTTGACTTCCATTCTCATTTGCAGGGAGGCTATTAACTGCACTAATGTGCGAGTACTTGGACTGGGCTGAACTAAATCACACACTTAAAGTGTATTTACCTGAGTGCAACTTGGTAATCAAGTAGCTTTTAGTTTGTCTTCAAGGTGTTTGAGATCTTCCCCTTCTCTTTCCTCGTTTTTTAAGATAAAAACTCATTAAGCTGTGAACTGCATTCCCAATTTGCATTGCAGCAAAAGGATGCATGGAAAGCAGAATTAAAAGAATTCAGTAGCAAGAATGGGTACGATCTCAACAGGAATGGAGATAGCGGTCCTTTGCTTCTCGATGTACTCGAAGGATTCTTGAAGTACGAGGTTTGTCATTAGATTTCTTTCTTGATGGTTTGATGGAATCATTTTATGAAGTAGGTATTTATCATGTACCTGCTATATAATGATGGGATGCAAGACAGTCCTAGAGTCTTATCGAGATTTACATTGATAATCTTAAATGAATTGTTCATTGGATTAATGTGACCTCTATGAAAATTTGCTGATGCTTTATGCCGAGACATATGAACTGCTTACAGACTTCTTTAACTTTATGTTTAAACAGAATCTAACTCAAGGTAGGGGATCTGGAAGGAGAGTGTCGGAAAATGAGTCTTTATCTAACTTAGATTCAAGGAATGTGCGGAGGCCCTCTTCATCATCGGTTGCTGGTGGGATACCTCCGTTAGGAAGGTGCGGAGCCAGTTTTAATTTAGCAATGTGAAGTACCGTATGTTCAACTCATTAAATAATCGTTTTCTTTTTGGCATGTTCAATTACAGGCCAGGTGCATCATCGTCATCTGGTGAGCAATTAACTAAGCTCTTACTTTCCTTTTCCGTCACCCTCTTCCCGCTGTTTTTTTTTTGGTGTGGTATATCTGGTCCTGATTTCAAAATTTATCTAGACAGGAGAGCAGGGTCTTCTATGAGCGGTGGTTACAGAAAAGATGACTACAACTGGAGGTATGATGGTGATGAGATCCCCGAGGAAGTAAATCGAGCTTCAGCTGCACTTGAAAACCTTCAGTTGGACAGGAAAGCTCGTAATCTAACATCATCCTGGCGGTTAGTGTTCCAACTTACTTGTCCTGCTAAGAACTGATGTTGACCTTCATTAATTGATCATTAATCTGCCCCTTTTGTACCGTTTTCACCGGCACATTGTTGCATTACTTATAGAAAAGCCGTTTTTGATTGATGTTAATAGATCTCATCTTCACTGCAGGTCTGCTGGGGATGGGATGAGCGACGATGATGGAAGGGCCGATCATATCTAAGCCTGAAAAATTGACATTTCTTCTTTTGCTTGTGTAGTGTAGTGTGTATTTTGTGTTGTTGAATCCATGCATTGTGTTTAACGATTGCTCAGAAAGCAAGAAACTAAGAAGAGGGAAAGATACTGGGTAGTGCTATTTGTATGATTTCCCCCTCTTCATTCTGGCCTTTTTTCCCTAGTATTCCACACGAGCATTCTTGTTATCTCTTCTCGTCTCCCTCTTCCTGGTTTCTGTGCAACTATTTGTCGAGTTTCTCTTGCAGTGCGTCTAACATTGTTCGTCGGATAGTAATATATTTACAATGAAAGTAGCTACAAATCTTTCTTGCAACCTACCGTGTTCCCCAAGCCACTTTTTCTCGGTAACATAACTTCGATTCTCATTTGAAATAACTACTTGATCTTCGATCATAATCACCATATTTTCGTATTTACAATTACAACTACAGCAACAAAAACACGAAGACCGCGCTCACCCACCCACCCAACGAAGAGCATATACCTTAAGGAAACCTCAAAATCGAAAGCCCCAATGCTGCTGCAGCCAGCAAAATCAAGAAATCTAACTAGGTGCTTGCCTTCACGAGCTGTTCGTACATCGGGGTTCTGGTCCTAAGGTAATCGAGTCTTTGCCATTCCATCCCTGCCCTCTCCATCTGATCCCTCACCTCCTGCATAATGCAAAGACAATTAACATAGTCTCATTCATCTCGCCTCCATGATAGACAATCAACCATCTGTCTAAGAAATACATTTTTCAGTTAGCAGTTCCAAGACTGCTTGCTTCTACACACGATCCGCTAACAAAACATATGTCCGGCATCGAGAGAAAGATAACAAGTCGGAAGGTCTACATCAAGCCTAACAATGACACACTCCACCATTTACCCTGAAGAACATGCATACATCACCTAGTATCATTCTTCTAATCATTCAAGTATATATTCTAATGATGACTGAAATTCATCTTATACACACGTATGTTATAATATATATAGAGAGAGAAAGAGAGGGAATAAAAGAAACATACGTGAAGGTAAGATTTCGCAAGATTTTCCGCTTGCATTTGAGCAAAAATGAATTCTAGTCTAGGGTGTTCCTCTTTGACCTCAATTTCCAGCCACTGCCAGTCATCAAAACAAGTGTTCAGTTCTACCAATACAATAGACAGACACCACATCAAATGGCCAAAGCTGACAATTGCATTACCTTATGCGGAGGGATCTGACGAAGCTCTTCATCACCTACTCCAAAACAGCAGACAAAATACAGTACATAACCAAGTGGAATCAATATAAATCAACAACGTAAAAATCAATGCTAGGCAAACAACACGGGCAATATAAACACTTCGAAAAACATATACATAACGTACCACGTGTCCTCCAGTAAACGGCTTTAACACCTGATACAACACGTTTGGTGTAATATTCGGAAAACTGAGGGTAGTATGAGAATATACCAACATGCTCCGGATTTGGCTGGGGCTCCTGATTCCCAATTAAATTCAAATCACATTAACAAGTATTAAAAGAGGATAGATAAAAAAAAAACGATTGGAAACTCAAAATAAAGCACAGCAACAAATTGTACATACTCTGTAGGAGGACCCCAATACCAGATAAGGGAACATCAGTCTGTGCTCCTTGGTCACTGAGGAATCAATGAACACACAACGGAACACTTGTGGCTTACTATGTGGTTGCTTCATGTAGCGCAAAAGTAGATCCATCATAGTCAGACCTAGTCTTGTAATCTGCGGACATAACACAGATATTATTAAAAAAAAACAAATATACGTAAAAATTACATCAAATCTTGATATATGTAGTATTCAATCTTACTATAACATATTAACATACCTTAGAAGTAAGAAAGAAACAGCAAATGATTATTGCGTCGATGTGCAGATTGAAAAACAACGCAGTGCTTCGATAAAGTATTTCGCTAAATAGCTTCCGACAGACTTCTACATTAAAATTCCTGTGCTCCTTTTCCAACTCTTCAGCCATGCCACATATTCTAACTGAAGCTAACTTTTCAATCTACACAACCAAAAATGGGATGTCATAGTGAATGTGGAGACATGGAAAATATACTCGACCACCCAAGGGAATGAAAACCACAAGGCCACAATATCCCAACTTTCAAAACTAAAAACATGTCTGTCACCTCTTTCAAGAATGTATCAATAGCCATATCAGCACACATTGCAAACTCTCTTCCAGGACAGGGATCTCTTGGTCTGTATACACAATACATTGAAGAAAACCTCAGACAAGAAAAGATGAGCCAGCAATGAGCACCAGTTGGTAAATTAAGTAGCACAAGTACCGAGCAAATACACAATGCAAACTTGTGGGTATCACTGATTGAACATGATCCGTTACTCTTGATGCACGGGATCCTTGCTCCACTACTCCACTCCTCAAGTTAGTGCATGGACTTGAAAAAATGTCATTATCATCTAATGATGTTAGAAAGGCAAGTCCTGTGTAAACGTTTCCAAATCAGTTACAAATACACCAACTAAATCTCTGACCCTCTGATAAAGTACAAAGTTAGAAGAAGTTACCATGGGTCATTTCATGCTTCAAGACAGAAGACAAATGTATACGTGCCACAATTGCATCCAAGGAGAAGTTAATGTATGACAGCCTCCCTATGGCACGAAGACGGGCAACCTCTGATACATGCATACGCTCTGCAACTTCGAGTGAATCATACATCAATGAACCTTCTTCCCAAATGGTACTCTCCAAAAGCCGCTCTTTCAGTGATTCCAAATGCATCCTCAGCTCACAAGGCATAGATTCCTCATGCCTAAGAAAACACTGTAGCGCATCGATAAGTGCAAAGGCTGTAATATCACTTTGCTCCAGGATTGCAGGAAACAACAACATTGTTACTGTCTTGCGTGCTGATAATACTAGTTCAGCGGAACAAACAAGCATGCATCTGTGGAACCTCTCCTTGGTTAACAATGAGGTCAAATTGGTTCCATAAGCAGTACACATTGCGTCCAAGACCTTATAATATATCTTGAGCACCTCCTGTCTCCGTTGTTCTATCCATATATTGTCGACTGTGCTTGTACTTTGGAGACTTCCACAAACACCCTCCTCTCCCATAGCGTTACTTGGAAATAAAGCTTCTAACATTACAAGAGCATTTTTTACAACAGGAAACCCAACAGAGGACGGCATTAATTTTGCAGAAGGCTCTCTTGACAGTGGACATACTACATTCCGGAGCCAGTTTGCAGCTTTCATCACCGCTTTCACACATTTAGCAGGCATCATATGGATTTCAGCAAAAGAACAGTTGGCTGCCTCATCGAGAAAAACTCTCTCATCCAATTGGCTCCATTTAGACATTGCAAGATCATAATCCATCTCCAGCATAATCAAACTATTCCGCAGAGAGGATTTTTCCATCAAATCTTCAAAATAACTCAGACCATCTGCATGGATGAAAAAATTACGACTTTGTTCGTTGGACGAGATATTAGACAAACATGACCTTTTATTGTAAGGAGCAATCAGGGTTTCACTTTCAACATTTCATAGTTCTAAAAAACGAAAAGGATTAGAGAACTAGAGCATCCCTAATTCTGAGTAGAGAAATCACCCGTGCGAATTGAACTTCATCTTTGTATGCGAAAACGCACTTTAGGTCACAAGATCTTAATATGCGTGTCAGAGTAAGCCCCTCCTTGCTAGCAGAAGACTCCATTGTATTCAGCACTCCAACTGACTTTGTAAGCCTCGTAGCACAGTATAATGCAAATGCAAACCAAAGTCTTACTGCTTCATCTACCTACACGAAATAAAGACATTGATTATATCATTTTCTGAGTTTATATGAATCAGAGTGTTATTATTAGTGCAGATGTGCCATAATTTTAACCAGGATAGGGTTGGTAGATGGTTTGTGATTCCCAATCTCAGCCCAGGAGGCACAGTAGAGGGCAAGAGGTTGTGTGATGAATAGGTGAAATGGTTCATTCGACCATAAATCTCCTGGCAAACAGCTTGAGCGACGGGATCCAACGATAATGTTTCCTGACCAATTTCAATACATAAACAGAATCCACTCAGAACGCAAGTACAAAAAGATTGTTCAGTTCAGTACAGTCGGCGGTCAGTACCTTGCACAGCGGCCAATTCCATGCGTACCCGCGCTCGAACTTCGACGTCGTCTCGTCTATGGTGTTTTTCGGTGCCTGAAACCCTCGACCGTTTCATTTCAAACTGAAGCCAGCCCGCGGAATCAACGACAAAACTCCTTCCCTCCCTCCTTGCCGCGAAATCAAACGAAAACTAACGACAGCCTTGGGGCTGAAGGGACAAAATAGCTGTCAAGAAGCAGAAGCTGGAGGCAGCAAAAAGTGAAATTGTGGTAATTTTGAGAAGCCGATCGCCGCCGGCCGACTAGGATGACCTACAAATTACGTTAAAGGGCGGGAAAAAACGCGGCGAATACGAATTCGATGGAGGTAAGGTAACCCTAATTCCGTCTGGACATATAGTCAGCCAAAGCCTAATTCTGTAAAATCTAATAGAAGCGGAAAGCGACAATTGCACAACATAGCAGTTTACGTGATCTACGTGCAGTGTAAACGATTCAAGCTCTTGAGTTCTTTTATTATGCACCAAAAATACACGTCACACTAATTACAGTATGTTATCCGTGTTCCAATACCAAATTCTGAATACTGAATTACACTGTAAAGTCAATTTTAATCTCTAAATAATTTCGGTATCCCAATTCCAATTCCTAAGTATTTCGGTATCCCAATCGGTATTTCGGTACCCAATCAGTATTATCGAATACGAAATTATTTACCTTTACAATTAATAATTAAATATAAGGATAAGGGAGGAGATGTGAAATTCTCAAGTTCTTGTCATTAGTAATCTTTAATTCGACGATTGGAGGCTACATAATACTAGTGTTTGCTATTTGGTGTTCTGAAAATAACAAGAGATTAGGTGAGAGACAAGAGTGACTTAAATTGGAAAGCGAAAATTGAGTTGGATGAGTACTTTTGAGTTGTGAAAGAGTGGGAATGGGCATACATTGTGTGCTATATTTCATTAATTTTTAAATTTTAGTATTTCTCGGTATTTCGGTATATACCGATCCCAATTCAGTAATCCCGAATACCGAATATCACTCCATAATGAATCCCAATCCCAATCTCTAAAAAATAAATTGGTATTCGGTAATACCAGATAGTGATAAGTTTGGTACGGTATTCGGTATATCCCTAATACCGATACCAAACTTGCAGCCCTAACACTAATGCATATGTGCGACACCTCTTAGCCAGGAACAAAGTTAGAATTTGAGTCTCGAGAAGTCGAAGTTGTTTCGTTTATCATTACAAAAATATAAATAAAATTAAAGCACAACCACTCAATCAGTCACATCTTCCATCACTATTGCACACACAGCTAATTATAAAACAATATTTAGTTTATACGTAAGTTTTTGTAGTTTTGTACATAACTTCGAAATTCTTGGGGTCCTTCCCTGCCTCTAGCTCCCTTTATATCAAGGTTGTCAAATCCTGGTCGGTTCAATCGAGGCAAACAGAAAACGGTATTCTATACGGTTGGAATACACTTCGTTTGGACGATTTATGGAAAAAGGTAAACTAGTCAAAATCGGGTTAAACCAATTAAAACTAGATGGTCTAACCAGTCAAAATCGAATTTGAAGATAAGAATTGTTAATATTTTAAAATATATTTCTTTTGAAGAAATAATTTGGTAATACATGAATGCAGACGAGTGAAATTGTCTAAAAATATATCAAATATATGCATTAGATGTGTAGGACTTAGGAGTAGTATTTCAAAAGCCCCTAAATCCTTTATGTAGAAAGGGTGGTGCAAGGATTCCTTAACGGCTTGACCCGATCAATAAGAGAAGAATCTATTCATGTCAATACCACGTCATCAATATAGATCATTATCGCAACAAAGACACCACCTTCACGATAGAGAAGCAACTCGAGATGGTTTGAAACCGAACTCCTAAAGTGTTTGAGTGAACTTCTAATACCAATTCCGGGGGCTTGCTTTAAGACGTATAAAGACTTACGCAAGAAGCCCACATGGGTATCGCCCAAATTGCTAGAACCTTGAGGAATCCTCGTGTACACGCCTTCCTCCAAGTCGCCATGTAGAAAGGCATCTTGATACATCAGATCATCTCCAGAGCAACTGCTGTTGTAAACTTCATACTATAAATTGCCAACTCAGGCCATCAACAACCGAAATACAGATCCGGATCGCTTGACCAAATCTCTTTTCAGTTGGACTCATGTAAACTCAGGTCACTTAACAAACTGCAACCCAGCCTAAATAAAAACTGCTGTATATTTCATTTCACGGCATGATTTCCATCACAAGCAGGTCATACAGATTTTAAGTTCAGTTATAACATTTACAATTACAACGACAGCAACAAAAAAATAAACGCCAAGACCGAGCACCCAGCAAAGAGAAGAAGCCCCTAAATCAAAAGCTCCAACACTACTGCAGCCAGTAAAACCAAGAATCTAGCTAGGTGCCTGCCTTAACACCCTTTCACCAGCTGTTCATACATCGGGGTTCCGGTCCTAAGGTAATCCAGTTCTTCCCAATCCATCCCCGCCCTCTCCATCTGATCCCTCACGTCCTGCATAATGCAAAGACAATTAACATAAGTCTCATTCATTTCGACTCCGTGACAGACAATCGACCATCTGACTATAAACAAACCACCACAACGTAGCTACAATGTCACTGACGCCAGGCTAAGAAATACATTTTTCACTTGGCAGTTCCGAGACTGCTCGCTTCTACACACGATCGCTAACTAAACATATGTCCGCCATCGAGAGAAAAAAAATCACAAGTCGGAAGGTCTACATCAAGCCTAACAATGACACACCTCACCATTTACCTTAAAGAACATGCATGCATCACCTAATATCATTGTTCTGATCATTCAAATATATATTCTAATGATGACTCAGGTTCATCTTATACACACGTATCAACCCATATATATATATATATATATATATACAACAGCACATATATTGATTTTGGCACATCAGCCATCCCAAAACAACCCATAATTTCAGGAAGGTCATTAAGATCAATTAACACCTATTAATTAGAACCGTAAGAGATACAGCCGTATGTTCACAACTTTGTTTACATTCACCCATCTGCACGGTAACAAACCTCATCCGGCCAACTGGCCGGACAAAATGATAAGTGATATAATATATATATATTTATATGACGAGTTCTACGGTACCCTGGGTGAAATCCGGGGTACCGCATACCTTGAGTATGAAAACACTATCTAGACCTTGAATTGACCGATCTTTCGGACATGATACTATACTCTAACACTTAAAGATCAAAATCTAGGTGTTAACTCTCCCAATCTTATACTCCAAGATCAATTTAATTAGAAATAATAATCGACGGTTATGATTCATCCAAATATAGGCACAAAAAGGAATGCACCATCTTAGGGTTTATAGATTATGATTTAGATAATTATGACCTAGGGTTCACTCATTAAGAGTTAGGGTATAATATCAGACACAAAAATCCTGGTAATTCGAGGTCTAGATAGAGTTTCCATACTCGAGGTATGCGGTACCCCGGATTTCACCCGGGGTACAGTAGAAGGCACCACATATATATATATAATTGTCATTCTGAGCATGCATTCTGAGCATGCGATTCATCATTCATGTCAAAAACGGTATCAATGCACCCGCCTCATAATCGTCATTCTAAGCATGAGATTCATGTGAAAACTATGCCAATCATCACTTGTGGTATGATGAACAAGAACCACATGAATTTGTACAAAAATCATTCAAGATTCATTTTAATTTGAATGATCTAGGGTTTAGAAATTTAGGGTTAGGATTAGGGTTTACAGTTTGAGATTTTGGGTTGGGATTCAAAATTGAAGGTTAATAGGTTAGGATAATGGACTCATTAGTTGTGATTTTGTGTTATATCATCATACTAGACTAATGCTACCCATTAAAGTTCAAAATTTGATGTATTATGACCACTTTTAGAATTGGGTGCATTGAATGCACCAAAAAAAGTGAGTGCACCGAAGTAGCCACTATATATATAGAGAGAGATAGATAGATAGAGAGAGAGACATACGCCAATGTAAGATTCCGCAAGTTTTTCCTCTTGCATTTGTTCAAAAATGAATTCTAGTCTAGAGTGTTCCTCTTTGACCTCAATTTCCAGCCACTGCCAGTCATCAAAAAAAGTTTTCAGTTCTACCAATACATTAGACAGACACCACATCAAATGACCAAAGCTAACAATTGCATTACCTTATGCGGAGGGATCTGACGAAGCTCTTCATCACCTACTCCAAAACAGCAGACAAAATCCAGTACATAACCAAGTGGAATCAATATAGCTAGGCAAACGACATGGGCAATATACAAAAAAACATATACATAACATACCACGTGTCCTCCAGTAAACGGCTTTAGCACCTGATACAACACGTTTGGTGTAATAGTCGAAAAACTGAGGGTAGTATGAGAATATACCAACATGCTCGGGATTTGGCTGGGGCACCTGATTCCAATTAAATTCAAATCACATTCACAAGTATTAAAAGAGGATAGATAAAAAAAACGATTGGAAACTCAAAATAAAGCACAGCAACAAATTGTACATACTCTGTAGGAGGACCCCAATACCAGATAAGGGAACATCAGTCTGTGCTCCTTGGTCACTGAGGAATCAATGAACACACAACGGAACACTTGTGGCTTACTATGTGGTTGCTTCATGTAGCGCAAAAGTAGATCCATCATAGTCAGACCTAGTCTTGTAATCTGCAGACATAACACAGATATTATAAGAAAAAAAAACAGATATACGTAAAAATTACATCAAATCTTGATATATGCAGTATTCAATCTTACTATAACATATTAACATACCTTAGAAGTAAGAAAGAAACAGCAAATGAGTATTGCGTCGATGTGCAGATTGAAAAACAACGCAGTGCGTCGATAAAGTATTTCGTTAAATAGCTTCCGACAGACTTCTACATTAAAATTCCTGTGCTCCTTTTCCAACTCTTCAGCCATGCCACATATTCTAACTGAAGCTAACTTTTTAATCTACACAGCCAAAAATGGGATGCCATAGTGAAAGTGGACCACCCAAGGGAATGAAAACCACAAGGCCACAATATCCCAACTTTCAAAACTAAAAAAAATGTCTGTCACCTCTTTCAAGAATGCATCAATAGCCATATCAGCACACATTGCAAACTCTCTTCCAGGACAGGGATCTCTTGGTCTGTATACACAATACATTGAAGAAAAGATGAGCCAGCAATGAGCACCAGTTGGTAAATTAAGTAGCACAAGTACCGAGCAAATGCACAATGCAAACTTGTGGGTATCACTGATGGAACATGATCCGTTACTCTTGATGCACGGGATCCTTGCTCCACTACTCCACTCCTCAAGTCAGTGCATGGGCCTGAAAAAATGTTATTATCATCTAATGATGTTAGAAAGGTGAGTCCTGTGCAACCGTTTCAAAAACAGTTACAAATACACCAACTAAATCTCTGACCTCTGATAAAGTGCAAAGTTAGAAGAAGTTACCATGGGTCATTTCGTGCTTCAAGACAGAAGACAAATGTATACGTGCTACAATTGCATCCAAGGAGAAGTTAATGTATGGCAGTCTCCCTATGGCACGGAGACGTGCAACCTCTGATACATACATAGGCTCTGCAACTTCGAGTGAATCATACATCAGTGAACCTGCTTCCCAAACGGTACTCTCCAAAAGCCGCTCTTTCAGTGATTCCAAATGCATCCTCAACTCACATGGCATAGATTCCTCGTGCCTAAGAAAACACTGGAGAACCTCGACAAGTTCAAAGGCTGTAATGTCACTTTGCTCCAGGATTGTAGGAAACAACAACATTGTTGCAGGCTTACGTGCTGCTAATACTAGTTCAGCAGAACAAACAAGCATGCATCTGTGGAACCTCTCCTTGGTTAACAATGAGGTCAAATTGGTTCCATAAGCAGTACACATTGCGTCCAAGACCTTATAATATATCTTGAGCACCTCCTGTCTCCGTTGTTCTATCCATATATTGTCAACTGTGCTTGTACTTTGGAGACTTCCACAAACACCCTCCTCTCCCATAGCGTTACTTGGAAATAAAGCTTCTAACATTACAAGAGCATTTTTTACAATAGGAAACCCAACAGAGGACTGCATTAATTTTGCAGAAGGCTCTCTTGACAGTCGACATACCACATTCCGGAGCCAGTTTGCAGCTTTCATCACCGCTTTCACACATTTAGCAGGCATCATATGGATTTCAGCAAAAGAACAGTTTGCTGCCTCATCGAGAAAAACTCTCTCATCCAATTGGCTCCATTTAGACATTGCAAGATCATAATCCATCTCCAGCATAATCAAACTATTCCGCAGAGAGGATTCTTCCATCAAATCTTCAAAATAACTCAGACCATCTGCATGGATGAAAAAATTATGACTTTGTTCGTTGGACGAGATATTAGACAAACATGACCTTTTATTGTAAGGAGCAATCAGGGTTTCACTTTCAACATTTCATAGTTCTAAAAAACGAAAAGGATTAGGAGTATTTTTGCGAACTGAAAAGTAGAGCTGGATATAAGATGACCACTGGAATTGTAGAATAAAAAAGGGGAACTTATCCGTTATAAAGTCACAAAAAGGTAAAGTACCGATATTCAAATCAGCTAGGGTCTCCCCATCACATTCTGAAGCAGTCCGGGGCTTCTTTTGCAGGACTTCTCTTATTAGAGTAACAGTCTTCTCCATTGAATTCAACACGTCATCTTCTGATGTATCATAGTTTTTGGAAAGCGATGCAATCAGATCAACCCGTTTGGTATCCTTCACCACTGCTAACAGATATTAGAAGCATATCATACTATTCATATAAGAGGCCCCAAATTATAACAAACGGAGAAAATGAAAGGAGATCAGAAAGAGCACACCAACCACAAGATCATTACCGAACCACGTATCATCCTTGAAACTGAAAATTCGGAAGTGAGCTGGCACATGCATAATTAGAATAGCCTGATAGAATATTCATAACCAAGTAAGAATGATGCTGGTCCAGACTAGAGGAAAATGACAGGCCAGCTCTGGGAATCAATTGATATAAGTGATAAATGAGATTCAAAGGAATAACTAAACTTCAAGCATCTGGCGAATGAAGAACATAACTAACCAGTACAGAAATCAAATCATTTATGCAGGTCACCAGGTCCATGGAACAACCAAACGCATGTGAACGGAGTGCCACAAATAGCAACCACCCAAGACGAAGATAGTCTGAAGCACATTGACTGCCACTAGAGGTTGCTGGCAGGTTATTGCTAGCTGGGTCTATGGATGAGAAGAGCTCCCAATATGCTTCTTTGTAATGCCTTTCACATGAAACAACAACAAAAAACTGAAGAAAATGAAAAATGCACTAGATGGAATCAGTCTTAGAGCAAGATATGACAGTTCTGCACATAGCCTAAGTGTCAATATTACAAGATTTAAGATTTACCATGTGGCAATTGAGTAAGTGGAAAAGAAAGACCCAATATGAACACCCAACAAGCGAAAAGTTGAGGAACCAGCACAGTGACTTTTAAGATAATTTTCCTTTGATTACTAAAAGAAAACAGGGTTATCCAGTTCTACAGAACACCCTATCCAAGCAAGAATAATAAAATCATGGAAACTCTGGAATGGTAGAGTAAGAAAAACTAACCCACCGGCTTAAAATGTTCAGGTGCACAAAGTTGGTATACAATTCCTTTGCCTGGTAGGGGGGAAACAACTCTAGTAAGTCATCAAGAGAAGGCAGATAAAATATGCAGTCTAACCAAGAGTAATCAGTATACAGCATCATTGTTTATACAGCACCTTGAGCTTTCTCTCCCAGCCAGCATGATACAGATCAGTCATCGTAGGCCCAGCTTTGAGGACCATGATTGGTAGCTCTTTGAGGAAAACCTCAAGTCTGGAGATGCAAAGAGCAACAAAACAGGAGTTAGAGAACTAGAACAACCTAATTCAGAGTAAAGAAATCACCCGCTCCGATTGAACTTCATCCTTGGTATGTGAAAACGCACTTTAGGTCACAAGATCTTAATATGTGGGTCAAAGTAAGCCCCTCCTTGCTCGCAGAAGAGTGCATCTTACTGAGCACCCCAACAGACTTTTCAAGCCTCGTAGCACAGTATAACGCAAATGCAAACCAAAGTCTTACTGCTTCATCTACCTACAAGGAACAAAAACACCGGTAACATCGGTTTACAAGTTTATACGCGAATCAGACTGTTACTTATTATTAGTGCAGATGTGCCAGAATTTTAACCAGGATAGGATTGGTAGATGGTTTGTGATTCCCAATCTCAGCCCAAGAGGCACAGTAGAGGGAAAGGTTAGATGATGAATAGATGAAACTATCCATTCGCCCATAAATCTCCAGGCAAACAGCTTGAGCGACGGGATCCAACGATAATGTTTCCTGTCAAGTTGCCGATTTCAATACATAAGCACAATCCACTCAGAACGCAAGAACAAAAAGATTGTTCAGTTCAATTCAGTACAGTCGGCGGTCAGTACCTTGCATAACTTGATGAACCGCTCGGCGGCCAATTCCTTGCGTACCTTGTTGACGCGTTGGTATTCGTCGGCTCGTCTATGGTGTTCTTCGGTGCCTGAAACCCTCGACCGTTTCATCTCAAACTGAAGCCAGACCGTGGAATCAGCGATAAAAACTGCCTTCCACCCTCCCTCCTCGCCGCAAATTCGATCAAGAAATCAAACTAAAACCTATCGACAGACTTGGAATTGAAGGGACAAAATAGCTGTTGAGAAACAGACGGTGGCGGCAGCAAACGTGAAATTGTGGTGATTTTGAGAAGCCGATCGCCGCCGGCCGACTAGGAGGACCCACAAAGAAAGTTACAAGGGCGGGGGAAAAAAACACGGAGAATACGAATTCGATGGCGGTAAGGTAACCCTAATTCCGTCCGGCAGTTCTGAAGAAGAGACGCACCACGGCACCGGATTTCATCTGGCTCTCGACGTGCCAACCCAAAATTTCACTTCCGAAGATCTGCGCTAGTGCTTGCTTGCATGCAGCAGGCTGGTTTTAGCGACCGTTGACTCACCAGTCACCACAACCCAAAGTTTTGCCCTTAGCTAAAACCAATTTTTGGGCTATAATTTTGGAACCAACAGACGTAACGATTAGGATGGTAATGGATCGGGTTGAGCCGGATTTTGCCAAACCTAAATTTAAATTTATGAGTTTATTCGTGAAAAAAATCCGGGATAAAATTCACTGGATTCCATGAACCCGCGGATACCCATCGGGTTGGGTTGGGTTTGAGTTTTTCAAATCCAGTGAATTTTATCCCGGATTTTTTTCACCCATGGGTAATTGGTTTTTGTCGTAAAAAATTTACAATAACAAGTTCCTATCAAATTAAAAGTCAAATATCAATCTCTCAATACAAATTATCCATATATAAAACACCATTCTAGAAAATTCAAACAAATCACAAATTAACCATACAAATTGTTCAACACCAATCTAGAAAACTCAAGAAAATTGAAGCAAATCACAAATTATCCATAAACAACGTGATTAATTGAAAGCTTTTTCCTCCTTGTCAATTAAACTTCTTCACTCTCTACTCGATAATATCAACTTCATTATCAATTAGAAAGAAAAAATTAGACATGTCTCCACAAACATAAACAAGATTAGTTGTTTAGAATATTAAATATACTGGAAAAATTAATTATATGGGTGTGGGCGCCGGGGCGGGTTTACCTAAACCCAAACCGAACCCAACCCGGTGAATAGTGAACGAGTTTAAACCCAAACCCGCCCTAAAACCTGTCAACACGGGTTTTACCCGCGTTGACCGGGTTGGGTCAGGTGGGTACCCGTGGGTTCGGGTTTTGTTGCCATCCCTAGTAACGATCGATGTGTCTGGATCCCATGACTAACCCCTCACAATTCTTATATCTGGACACACCAATCTCATGGTTAAAAAGTGGGGATGACTTTCTAATTAGTGGTAGAGGTAGTTTGGTTATTATGAAAAATTACGAAGTACACAAATCGAACTTACAATCAGTACAAACATACAAACTAAAACAACAAAACATACAAACAGATTTACAAAAAATATGAACTATACAAACAATACAAACGAGACCGACAAACAATACAAATCATACAAAATGAAAAAAATAACCGGGTTGACTTTGGAAGCTCCATCCCTATATAGAGGTTTTCGTCCCAAAGTCAACCAGGTTGTGTTTTTTTTAGGGCTAATACCACTAGGAAACCCGAACTATTAAGAATGTGTCATTTGTGTCCTAAAATATCCAATACGACACTTGTGTCCTAACTATTTTTCCGTTAGAGTTGACCGACGTTGACCGTTGGTTTTTAACAGAAAGTCTAGTCAGCACTGATGTGACATCTGAAGTGGAATTTATAATATTAATTTATAATTATTTTCATATAAAAAGTTACAAAAATTAATAAATAAAATAAAAAACAGATTAGTCGCCCGGATGCTTGCCGCCGCTCCCCTCTCCAAAACAAATCTGTCACCCGCTCCCCCTCTCCAAAACAGATCCGCCGATCCCCCTCTCCAAAACAGAGTCGTCCCTTATCTCCAGCATCTCTCGAAAGACAGGTACAGATTCGTCCCCCATCTTCGGCATCTCTGAAAAAACAGATTCGTCCCCCATCTCTGGAATCAAAATTTCTTCTTCCCGCAATCAAGAACGCTGCAAAAGAGCTCATCGATCGAGACTCGGAACACGCGGAGGTGTAGATCCGGATGCGGTAGAATTATCCCTCTCTTCAATTGCGGGAAATTATCCCAACCCCTGGTCTTAGTAAATTATCCCTTCCCCTTTTTCATTGGCGCCTCTGCCCTCACCTCCTCTCCAAAACTAGAGTGACGCTTCTGTCTCCAGTTGCTTCCTCTTCCTTTCCTTCCGATGCAGGCGCTGGCAATAGGTTCTCCACGGTAGCGACAAGCAAAGTGTTGACAGCGTCGGCCCCCAAATTGTTCACAGCTGCAGTGAAGAATCAATCCGACTGATTCGCTAAAACACAACACCTAACAATGGCCAAGTGTAATCAATGAAAGGGACTGCAGTATAGTGACACAAGTAATAAATATTGAATCCACGAGTCTCTAGAGTTACTATTACTCAGCTTCAGTTCATTATCTAGCAAACTAGATTAAGAATTGATTTACTAAACTACTCTACTATTTACAAGTTGGGAACTCACTTAGGTATGATTCCCCCTAACTCCTCAATTAGGTCCAAGTTGAAATTACCTTTGGTTGATCTACTGTTGATTAAACTGTGAAAGATCCTAAATTAGCTTGGAATCTCTTAAGCTGACCAAGCCCTCTTATACAGAATACCCGGCAGGCGACTAGCCTTCACCGGGATAGACTGCTAAGGCGATTCACCCAGATCTCCACTACTGGAATGAATTCCAGTACAAAGTAGTGAATTGATTGACTCTCGCACAACCAATTCACCACTATCAATCAATGAAGCTCTCTTAACCTAATCAGTATCTATCTATCATAGGTTAAAGCAGAAATCAAGAAAATTTGATCAAGATTCAATTGAATCAATAAATCATGCCTCAATCGATTATAATCAAACAACATAGCATCCAAAACTTCATACAAGAAAGATCCTAACACATGGAACTAGGGTTTCTCAAAACCTAAGTGAAGGGAAGTTACTTCATAGAGAAGAGAGAGACTGCATAAATCTGATCTCGATCTTCAATCTCCATCTCCAAGCTTGATTCCCGAGCTCCAATGGCGAAGAAATTCTCCAAAATATCTCCAAGAATGTTCCCAAGTCGCTCTGTCTCTAGGGTTCGTCCCTTGGGTGTTTGGGAACCAAAACCCAGCTCTCCCTTTCCTTTGGCTTGAATCTGCCTCAAAAACCCGATTCTGGGCAAAACACGGTCGAGGACACGGTCGTGTTTTACTTTTGCCCGCCCGTGTTTTTCCCCCAACAACCCTTATGACACGCCATCGGCAGTAAAAACACTAGCGGGGGCCAGATAAAATACGGTCGTGTTTTTAGGGTAGTCTGCCCGTGTTTTTACTGCCGAATCTGTTCCTCTATATTCAATGCTTCGTTTCTCTCTCGTCCGGACTCCGAATCAGTCGTCGTCTGATGCCAGACACTCGTAGTCTCGTCCTCTTTCTTTTCATGACAAGCTTGCATGATTCTTTGTCCATAAATGAGGTATAAATCCATTCTTCTTCAGGTCATGCCCAAGTTTCTTCTCCCGAATTGCCAATTGATATCCGATTGACTTGAAACTTGCGCCTATGCCTCCTTTTACTCACTAGGACCTGAAATATGACAAAGGAACACAACCTAGCGTAAATAGGCCAAAGAAGAGATAATGCAAGCTTAAACGATCAAGAAGTAAAGGGAAAAACATGTGCAAATATCGAGTCATCACCGACCGCCCAAATTTCCCCGGATTCTGATTTCGCCGCCGCCATGGTCGACGATGGTGACAACGGCTGCAGAACCCTAGTTGGCGATTTTTGGGGGACTGGGGGTTTAGGAGAGGTAGAGAAGGAAAGAGCATTTTATTTTCGTAATTAATTTTTATTTTATAATTTTTATTGTTTTAAATTAAAAATATGATGTGTCAATGATGTGGCATCTACGTGGTTGCCACGTCAACAAAATTCAATGTTAAAGTTGACTTCCGTCTGGTCAACCATCATCTATAACGGTCAACGAAATCGTCAGGAATAAATGACACACAACTATCATAAGTTGGGACACAAATGTCATATTGGATACTTTAGGACACAAATGACACATTCTTGATAGTTCGGGTTTTCTATTGGTATTAACCCTTTTTTTTACATACAAACATGGTGGAGAAAATGACAAACTAGACAGACAAACCATACAAAATGGGAAAACACCCGGGTTGACTTTAGAGGCTCCATCTCTATGTAGAAGAGTTCCATCCAAAAATCAATCGTGTTGTTTTTTAGACATAAAAAATATTACAAACATGGGTGACAAAATAACAAAGCTTAGAAACATTACAAAATAACAAAGCTTACAAACATTACATAAGAAACGGCCAAATAGTACAAAGCATACTAACCGTACAAAATAGTCATGTAAACATTACAAATATAATAGACAAAACTGACAAACAATACAAAACGAGTTGTCTGTAAACATTACAAACAAGACTTACAAATATTACAAAATAGAACGACAAACATTACAAAACTCCCGCGGTCGTAGGAAAATCCCCCATCATAGAAAAAATCTCGTCGCGGCCGGAAATTCTCGCTGGCGCCGGAAAACCTCTCTCTCCCTCTCCCTCTCCGTGTGGGAAGCCGCAAACAAATGGGGGATATAAATCTCGTATCCCCAGGAACAAAATCCCTGGCCGCCGATGGTGACAGGACGGCAAACCCAGCCGGGAAAAACACGCGAGCATTTTAGTATGAGCCTTTGAATTTTAATGAGATGGAATGGCTGAGATTCACTTAGTCATGTGACTAAGGACCTCTCCCCCTAGAGTCACCTGATCTTAGCCCTCGATAGTGAGGTGCTTCAACACAGCGTTCGGGGCCGTGACTAGCGGTGGTTCTGACTGTTGCCTGCTTTTTTATATTTTACTTAATTAAGTTTCCTGGTGTGTTTTTAAGCAAACCTGACCCATTTCGGTGGAAATTGAGATGGTTCAGTTGTTATTTGACGCAAAAATAATTACATATGAAATTTTGAATTTAAATACCAACGGTTACAAAACACGAGAATCGAAATAATGATTATAAACATTCATAAACGGTTAGAATCATCTGGACAATATATGAGTGGTGTGACTAAAATTCAATGCCAACAATTGACAAAATAAAATGCGAACCATCAATTGAAGTGATTAACTAATTATTTTAACTATAAAAAAATATCCCGAAAGTTGCTCATTTATCAATATGTTCTTATCGAATTATCATAAAAATAAATATAAAACTTAATTGAAAAACATAAATTTAACTATTCATAAGTTAGAACTACTAAATACGATACACAAAATTATAACCCCAGGTATCGAGAGAATATATATCACAAGTCAGAAGGTCTACATCAAGCCCAACAATGACGACACATCCCACCATTTACCTTAAACAATTCAAATATGCATTCTAATGATGACTGAAGGTTCATCTTAAACACAAGTATTGTATTAGCATAATATGGTAGAGAGAGAGAGACGTTAAGGTAAGCTTTCGCGAGTCTCTCCGCATGCATTTGAGCAAAAATGAATTCTAGTCTATGGTGTTCATCTTTGACCTCAATTTCCAGCCACTGCTGCAGTCATCAAAACAAGTTTTCAGTTAGTAATACGATAGACAGACAACCTCAAGTTAGTGCATGGACCTGAAAAAATGTCATTATCATCTAATGATATTAGAAAGGCAAGTCTTGTGCAAACGTTTCCATATCAGTTACAAATACACCAACGAAATCTCCCACATCATTACTTGGAAATAAAGCTTCTAACGCTACAAGAGCATTTCTTACAACAGGAAACTCATCACAGGACTGCATTAATTTTGCAGAAGGCTCGCTAGACAGTCGACATACCACATTCCGGAGCCAGTTTGCAGCTTTCATCACCGCTTTCACACATTTAGCAGGAATCATATGGATTTTAGCAAAAGAACGTACATTTGGCTTTCAAATACTTCATCATAATTTTGAAGATCATGTTCACGCGATCATATGTTTTTTGATTGGTATGCAATTGTCAACTTCATATGTTGTACATGTGTCATTTCATTAATTTTGCCTTTCATGGATCTATATGTTTTATGCCGAATATTTTGAGCGTTTAATAACTTTTTCAGTCTCGTGACAAAAAATTCACGTAAATGTGCAACAAACTTAGCATTTGAACATTTTGATGGTAGTAGACTACTCAATTGATGGCAACTTCTCCCCCTAATGAATACTTATAACTCATGCACATAATTGAGAAAACGATCCACCTTGCACTCATATAACTAAAATCAAAAGATGTCATTGTTGTGCATAGTTCTTTTTCAGGATATACTTTATGTTTTTGCATAACATCAGCACAACACTAACATGTACTTGAACGAGGTCAAAGAGTAAAAAAATAATATATTTGATAAATAAGCACCTAAGAAATAAATATGGTTTAGATCAATGAAAAGGAGAGACAATTGCATATCAAGAGCATGTAATTAAGGTATAATTGTAGTACTATACTACCAATATGTACATCTACAATTGTGTATTACTTTTAACCTTTTAATAATTGTATAAAATGTTAGGTATAGAGACACTCCACATCCACTTTACATTACCATACAATATTAATTCAATAACTAAAGATCAGTTGTGGTGACAATTGTAATGTTCCTCCTTATAGTTTATTGTCTATCATCATTAGAACTACAAAGAATCAAGTTTTATCTTTGCATCGTGCAATTGAGTTCCCTCATAGACATTCTACCAAATAACTTATATGAATTAAACGATGACTAGCATAGAGTAATTGATATATTTTTATTGTAAAAGAAGATTTACTATTTAGAATTGATTGGAGATGAAAGATTGTGTAAACCCACTCTAGATAGATATGGTGAAGGAATTAGGAACGTAGGCGGCTTGAGTGAAGTCAAAATGCATATTTATGTGGAAAGGTGGTGATCTAGGTTATTCTAATAATTTACGGACCAAACATGAACCAACTGCCACTGAGTTTGGGATTATCTGCTGACAACTGTGGAAGCAGAGAAATGAGGAGGTAATGGAGGGGAGAGCTTTCTCTCGCGACAGTGTTTGTGCCAAGATCCAAGTCTGGTTCAACATCGTGCAGAAATCCGACCAGAACATCCAGAAAACCTTTCCTGTTGTCAAACCTGCTAAGCAGAGCTGTCTTGTTGGCTGGGAACCACCTGAAGAAGGCTGGATACAACTCCAATTGGACGGTTCTGTCCTCTCTCCCAGTGGTAAAGCTGCTGCGGGGGGATTGCTTAGGAACCACACAGGGAAGTGTCTTGGGGCTTACGTTTGTAACCTCGGTCACTGCTCCATCACAGCTGCAGAGCTAAGGGGAGCCTTGGAGGGACTCAAGATTGCTTGGAGAGAAGGCTACCACAAAATTCAACTCAGCATGGACTCCACCACAGCGATCAAAATCATCGACAAAAGATTTGAAGATGATCATCGACATGGCAGCATTGCCAAACAATTCAACCACCTTTTGAACCTACAATGGGATGTTCGTGTGTCTCATGGGTATAGGGAAGCCAATTTGGCGTCCGATTTCTTGGCTAGCAAGGCTCATAGTTTCACTTTTGGTACACATCCTTTCAATGTGTACGACAAGGATCTTGTACATTGGATCCACCATGATGTAATGGGAGTTTCCCATGAACGTTTTTATCTCTAATGTCACTTAGGAGCATTGCGTCTACCTTCTTACCAAAAAAAAAATAATCATTTACTGATCAAGAATGAAGCTGAAGCAAAATGCGGAGAATAGTGTAATTTAAACGTATTTACGAAATGATAGAGCATTGAGTGAAGCTAACAAACAAATGTCTTCAACAGGGAGCTATGTTTGTGGGAGGAAAAAGGTGAAAAAGAAAAGGAAATTTTGTGAATAGTGCTGACTTGAGCAAAGTCGAATGCGAAAAAATTAACTGGATCGCACTTCTATTTTAAAAAAAAGGTTATTGTTGTGAAAATTGTGTATACGACTTTACGTGCATAACCCTAAAATTACATACAAAGCATAAACACTCCCTCATTAATTTTAATGGACTATATCTTATTGTTTTGAACTCGTATTTCATATTTTTTGCATAAAAAGATCAAATAAGTATACTATAGACAATGAAATTTATTGTTATATATTTTGGCAAAAAAAAAAGTATGTATACTTTAGTAATTTTATATAGTGTAGGAATTATCATATATCATGGTGGCACATGACTGAACTATATAGGTGTATTTTAGTAATTTTTTGGTGTACGTATATGTCACATAAATACGTGATCGTAATAATGTATTTTACTTAGCAAGTTGACACTTTCACTTCATAATATTATCAACAACTAATGAGTAGCACATAAAAAAGGTTAGTTTTTAGCATATAACTACATAACTGTATTAGTACATATGTTTATAGTAGTATAAATAAAATGTTAAATTGTTGGTACGATATAATACCAAAGAGTGATGTCCTTTGATTTCTCCTTTTTTGCATAATTATACGCTACAAAATGACATTTACTATCATTTTTTTTTTGCATTTAAAAGAATAATTATGTTTTCTTTAATAAGAGAGAGATGTCGAATTTGTTTTGTTGATGCATATATAACTCGGTTTTTGTATTACTTCCTTTTACCCATGACGCTTTTTGTCATATCAAAATAACTTGGTTTAAAATATTTAAAAATTTCACCACCATCAACAATATTCTTACAGAAATGGAATTATCATTTATCATGGTGGCTCATGATTGAATTATGTAAGTATATTTTAGCAATTTTATGGTGTAGGAACATGTCACATATATATGTGATTGTGATAATGTATTTTACTTAGTAAGTTAGCATTTTCACTTCATAATATTATCAACAACTAAGCATTTTCACTTCATAATATTATCAACAACTAATGCAGTAGACACATTTTTTTTATATTTTTAGTATATAACTATATGAGTGTATTAGTACACATATTTATAGTAGTACAGTCAAAATATTACATTATTGGTTGAAATATTTTTAATTGTTTATCTATCATATTATCAAGAAAACCTAATCGAAAGTTATTTTTATTTGTTAATGATTCTCTATGATGGATAAAAAAATACAATAAACATATTTGTAGCTTTAATTTATGTATAATTTAGGGTCAATGTTTTCATATTTGAGTCAAAGGTGAAACAATAAAGCAAAGAAGATCATAGTCAAAGGTAGGGTGTTAAACCCATTTCATGACATGAGTATTAATTTCTTTTGTGGTGGTAACATCAAATAGAATTTGTCTCAATGGTCAAACACTCTAGATGATATTAAAATTAGAATTTGCACTACACAGGTTCTAGGTTCAAGTCTTAGTGACGATGATTATATATCTCATTATTATTTTTAGATTAGTGGAACATAAAAAATTATGGGAAAACTAAAATGATAAAAATGACATGAAAAATTGTAGAGCTTTCTGAATCCTACATGGCAAAAGATTGCTCTAAAATCGCCATAATATAAGTTACTATATATAGATAGATAGATAGATATATTATAGTTAGATAGATATGAGTTGGATGAGAGGAAACTTTCACGTCCGATTTTAAGGGGATCATATCTCAATTTTTCTTTTGCTAGGCCTGTAGCTAAAAACCCTACTTTCTTACAATTACGAGGCTCATTCGAATATGAAAACATATTCTGAAAGATAAAATAGACATACAAAATTTTGGCATGTCAACAGAAAGAAGAAACGACCTATTAATGTATGAAACCCTAGTTACCCTAGGATCGAAACTTCTTTCGATTCTTCTCGGGCAGAGCCTCTGATCCCAGTCGTCGAATGACCCAATCGTGAAATGAAAAGCAGTCGACCGACTTTTCCTTTTTCCACTGTGTGCTCTCCTTCAAGCCTCCAACAGAATCTTCCACAACAACCACGTTTGGTGCTTGCAATTCCTTTCGACAAACTTGCTACGTGCACAGGCTTCAGCTGTCAAGTTAGGGGTTTCCACAAGATACAGACGCATACAGAAGCTACCACATAAAACTACTAAGATCATCCACAATGGTTGAGACTTGAGAGAAAAAAATGAGTGGGTTAGGGGGGGGGGGGGATTTGGGGTTTTGGGGTGGAAACCCCACAATGGGTTGGGAGGGAAAAAAGGAAAAAGTGGGAGGGGTGTTTTTTAATGAAATCAATTTAGTGTTGATTTTGCCACTTTAGTTAAATAATTTAATCGTTCTTTTTATATAGGTAGCTTTTTATATAGATAGTCATAATTAATTAAGATGAACATTGTGATATAATTTTTTTAATTTGGACATAATTTTTTTCGTCATTATTTAAATATGACGTCATCAATGACGAAATCACAATAATGTTTTAGAAGACCATGAGTCATCACATGTTTCACAAAATGAACTGGAAAAAATATGGTTGTTTATGCTGTTGGAAAATATGTTTGTTGTAATTCAATTCTGATCATTAGATCGAAGAAAAAACGATCAACAGTTTAAAAACACTCCAAATAAAACAAAAACAAAACAAAAATGAAGAAAAACAGAACCAGCGTCACCCGCGCGGGTGACGTCACCTGTTCCATGCCCTCTCTCCTCCTCCCATCTCTTTGTTTTGTTGTAACCCAAAAACTTCACCCCCCCCTCCTCCTTTTTCTCTTTTTTTCCCATTTTCCTCCTCCACTATGAGCTCCTCCAATTTTTTCCTTCTTATTTCCCTTTTTTTTCCATCCCACTGTGGGTGGTTTAAGACTATTGTCCTCCGGCAGATACGGCACCGGAGAAGGAAAATAGATTAACACTGTAATCTTATTAGTTATTGGTGTGACTAGGCAAATAAATTTCAGCGCGCTCAAGTTTTTATCTACCAAGTTTCTTTCGCTCCTCTAATTGTGCAGTTGTTACCGATATATCATTTTTCAGGTTGCTTACAATGTAATATCTACACGTTTCCTCCTATGATCAAGTACACTGTGAACATCAACAAACAACAGTAACTCTAGAGACCTACGCAATACAGTGTAAAACATAAAAGAAAATATCGAAAAATGTTGAAATCATGAAACAAAGGCTAGATAAGTTTGCATGTTTCCCTCTTTTTTTCATACATACTGTCTACATACATCACAATCATTGCATAGGAGTTTTCATAAGCGATTTTCATTAAACAATTTGCGTCAAGGCAAAAGATGCTCTTAATCATTTGAATCTCAATCTTACAAAAAGTATGGAAGAGAGTCTTAATTAAAGAGAGGGCAAAGAACCAATTCCTCCTACAATTATAGATAAACGCCCGTTCTCCTTCACTTCAGTTTCATCCTTTAGATTCTTTGCATTATTGTAACATATCTTAGAAAATTGTTCTGTAACAAGACCAAAAATAATAAATGGGTAGTCTCGATTGACACCACAATCAACATGTAATTGGAAGTTTCTATATGTTTATACTATTTACCTGCTTGACCATAAGCACATGGTCATCCTTGAACTCAGGAAAAGCATGACCTGCTGCATTCATGGCGATTGTCGGGAGAGTCATAGCAAATGGCTTACTCCTATTTATAGAAGCATCAAAATCCTCCTGAACCATTAGTTTTAATAACAATGAAGTAACTTCATTGTACTTCGTTACATACTCTGACACCTCTTGAAAGTAGTCCAAAACTAAGCATGGAAGGTAGTCGAACGAAGTAGTCAGCTCGTGCTTGTATCCCGTGGTGTCTAGTATTTCAATCTTCATATCCTTGAGTATGATCGTATTTTTTGAGGTTCCATCCTTCATCCTTGTATAGTATCTCATAAGGACGAAAAGTAAGTGAGTCCAATCTTCGACTAGAAAACTCATTCATCTTAACTGCAATAGCCAGGGAACACTTCTTTAAAATCTTAAATCCTTCCTGAGTTGGAGCATCCAACTTGGCATAACACTTCTCAAATATGAACTGAGCCACATATATGGAATTTCCACTAATTCTCTTACTTACCACAAACTGCAAGTTGAAAATTTTAAAATTTTAAAATGATAAATCAATAGTTGCCTACAAAATGTAGAAAAGAATAACGATAAAACTTACTTTTACTTGCAAGAAGAATCTGTGTGCATCCAAATAAGTTTTTGATAATATATAAGAGATTTTCAGTTTCGAACTTCTTAAAAACTTTCTCTCTTGATCAAGTTGTTCATAAAATGGTTGCTCCTAGCCTCACCATCAGGAGTAGTTAGATGAGGTCGAACTGGAATTATTGATGCAAGAGGACGCAACTTTCATGCATCTTTATTTTCAGGCAAAACAGGATTTTCGCTTTCAACTTCAAGCACTCAACCTAGAGGATTTTCTGCATCATCAATCTGAGCATAATTTTCCCGGACACTCCTTAATTTACTAAGTCTCTCTGAAGGCTACAAACAAATATATATATTACAATGGGGCCTAAAGACACCTATAAATCAAAGACATCATAGAGACACGTTAATGAAGAAATAAGTTGATAGAAAGAAATAGCAACACAACAACAAACAAGCCAAAATTTTGCTTGTTTATCATCAAGAAGCAAATATATAGAGGGGGAATAGCTTATAAATGATGTCATCAATGCGAAAAATACAGTAAATGGTCCAGATTATCATATGTTTCTCCACATGTTAGTCAAAATAAGTTGTGTGATCAACCACTCATCCAACTTTAATCATAATGAGTTATTTTATCAACTGTCTATTCAACTTTAATCAAAATAAGTTGTGTCATCAATTATTCATCCAACTTAAATCACATTACTGCATAAGAAATATTTACATGTTTATATAATTGAAACCTCAACCTTGGTTTTTCTACTCATCAGCCATCCAACCTTCATTCTTGAAAAAATTCATTCAACATTCATGCATTTCTTTAGCCAAAAACAAATCTATATGTTTCATGATTCCTCTGGTAGATAAGCTTATGAGAAGCAAAGAGATGTATATGATTATCGGTGTACGAAGATGTTCTTGATGTAAAGAACTTTATTCTATAAACTTTGTCGAGTCACTATGGCAAAACTCTATTCCCGTGCTCTTCACATTTTAAATTGTTAATCTCTCTTAAAAACCTAAGAGGTTCTCCTTCCACTAGTGACAGATTTGTAATTTTCTTATTTGGGTGACTTGCCCATCTCATTCATTAAGATATTTTCTTACCAAAGCGAAAATTTTCTTTCCTATGTTATCTTCATCCACCCGCCTGTATGAGCTAGTGTGACAAGAATATCTTCCATCATCTTCAGTGAGATTCAAATAGGAGTCTCGGCGTTGGAGATGAGTGAGGAGCCTTCAAGACTTTGATTTTTAATTATGCTAATTCTCGTCCAATTGAAGTCAGTCTCTCGTCTTAGCATTTATGGGAGATTGAAGAGTAGTGCAGACAGATTTGGAGATGATAAAAAGAGACGAAGACATAGCAACAACGATGATCAGAATGATCATGATGATTTTGAGACTTCGACCCTAATTCTCGGTTATTTGAAGTGTTGCTCTAACTCAATTATTCTCAGAAAAATGAAGAATAGTGCAGTCAAATTAAATTATTAGAATGGACTTAACTATGTTTGATGTATCGTAAAAGCTCACACCAAATTTAATCTTGTCCCACTTGTGTATTTGAAGTGATCAACCCACTTCCCTTTTTTTACTGCAACCAACTCGTGTTTCAATGTTACTCGAAGCAAATTTATTTGCTCATATCATATCAGCCTATTTTTTGTTGTTTATTGTTACTGTTTAGACATCTCTAACGCACAAATCCAAAAAATCTAATATATATATATATCTATCTTTGGCATTCTAGTTCCACTTAAAGTGGATTTGCTCTATTATAAAAAGTGGATTTGCTTCGATGGGTAAAACCAAAACGTCAATTTCCTCAAATTTTGTTTTTTTTTGTTATAATCTAGTTTATACTAGATTTCATCATTTTATTTACATAATTTGTTCATTATTTTTATATAGACACTATAATGGCAAAACATGCATCCGATTTACAGGGATTTGAATTTGCTGCACTGTGAGGGTTTTTCAGATGGCCACTCTCGTCATTTCACCATCAATTAAATAATACTCTGCGTTTTACGAAACCCATCCCACAATTCTTAATTTGGCGACGTTTTCCATGAAATTGTGTCCACTCCATCCCCGCATCCCCACCGCCGACTCAGATTTCGTTCCACCATCACGGTCACAGATGCGGCCTTCCTCTCCAGCGCCAGTGTAATAAGGCTTCGGTTGTGCAGTAGGATCGGAAACAACTCCCTCAGGGGGCTTATTGGGTTTCTTTCTTCGAACATGCGGTCAGCGTCGTCGTTTTTTACTCGGCTTCGACCTAGGTTCCTCTAAGCCTTCACCGTCTAAGCTCCACTATGTTTTCTCCCAATTATTAATTGACGAGTGGTTATAACCAATGGAATTGGGTGATTGGAGGGTCTTTTTAATTTCTTCTCTGAAACTGACGAAATGGATTCGATTACTATTTGTGACCTCTGGAATTTGTAATAAAAAAATGAGAGTACTTATTTGAAAAAAGCTATGGCACTTGGCCAAGTAATTTAATTCCATGCAATTGGTTTTCTTTATTTCTTCATGCAAAGTTTTCGGTGCTAGTGGAAGCTCATAGAACCAACTTGGATTAAACTCTAGAAATATGTTTGGTGATGATGCTTCTATATTTATATTTTATCTTAAGCTATTTATATTTTATAGAAAGAGATTAGTTATGAAATCGGAACTCAAGTAACATTGATTCAAACATTAATATTAAATTGTCGGACTTTGCTACGGTGACATGCATGTCACCGTAACATGGACTTTTTTGGTCGACCTAATATAGGATTAGGTCGACCTAATCTGTTGTTTCAGCTTTGTGAGGTTCAACGACGGGGTTGACCTTCTAACAAATGGTCGACCTATTTGGGAAGCGAACAGAATGAAAGGTCGACTCAAATACCTCATAGGCCGACCATTTTGCACTTAATAGGTCGACCGCATAAGTACGAGGTCGACCGCGTGCACACCGTATCCGTATTGGATAAGGATTCCAACACTAGAAAGATAACCCTAACTTATCTACCACTTAATTCGACCCATTCACGTCACAAATATCTATAAATACGAATATATGTATGACTACATGGGGCAGATGTCCACCCAGAAGACTGGCATGTACGACTCCATGGGGCAAATGACCACCCAGATGAGCACACTACAGGTGACCATGAATGATATGCGAAATGAGTTTCGATCTTTCAGTGGAAGATACATGCATCCCACCACATCCACATACCATAATGCACCACCAATGAAGAAAATGTGAATGAGGGAGAGAGGAGTAGGAACTCGATGATTTTATATTTTGTATTTTTGTTGTACAAACTATAGGTAAGGTTCTCTAAAATTTCAGCCATGTTAACTGCTAAACATTAAACCTCTTGCTAATCTGGCATGAATGGACCCAACAATAATGAGACGATATTGAGTTTAATGTGATGTTCATTTCGCCATTTCTACATGTGTTGATCAGTTTATAGGGCATTAACGATTTAACGTATACCATGAACACAATATATGTGGATGTGGTTTATAGGGCATTAAATACTCTAAAAACATATAAAATTTAAATTAATGAGTAGTTTTTTACATCAACGTGTGACGACTCATATTCTAAAAGAATTATAAAATACATTCATTGTTTATTTTGAGACTCAAACATTTTTCAATGTATACACCTAAACACTCATTTATAAAATCATTCTTGATTAACTTCATAGCTAAAAAGTCTTTTTTATAGCTTGCACTAATAACAAGCAACGTCAACAATAACTTTAGAAGCAAGTAAAGTGAAGAAATTGGGATTTAGTATCTCTTTGCAAATGTGTGTGTGTTTTGGGGTAGGGGTGGGGGGAGGGGGGGTTGGTCTAAATTTTTTGAGGAAGGGGTTGAAACTCATATATCATTTGTTCGAATGTTGCATATTGCATGGGAGTATTGAACATTTGGAAGCAATATAATTCTAAAATTAGTATTAAATTTTAGCCCAGTTAACCAATAGCCTTAAACCTCTTGCTAATCTGACATGATTGGATCCAATAATCATAAGATGAGATTTAGTTTGATACGCTGGTTCAAACCAGTTTTTATGTGTAATGAATTTATACGACAAATACATGTAAATATGTGAAGATGAACTTGAATATGCATTTTTATTCTTTTGATAAATAAAATGGTTTAAGCGATGAACTAACTATACACTCACTCAATTGGTTTAACGAGTGTTGTTTTTATCACTTTTAGCAATTAGTTTATTCACAAGCTATTAAACTACTTTGCTCCACGATCATCTATTCGCTAAGTTTTAGGTGCTTTGATTTTCACTATTGACTATGAATGGAGAAGAAGCATTTCGAATGCAAAATTGGAGAAGTAATTGAGATGTTTCTAAGTTTCTCTTTATTCCAAGCGGTGGGAAGAAAGAGGAAGGGAAGGGGGAGAGTGGTGATTTACAAAGCTGAGAGAGAGATGGATCAACAAATGGAAAAATAAAGAGGAAGGTAAAAAGAGAGTGAGATGACACATTTAAAAGAGGGGGGAAATTATGCATTGTGAAATAATTGTTATTCTCCTTTGCTTAGAGGGTATTGATAGCCCTTTTCTTTTGAGTTTTGATTTATTTTAGAGGATGATATTATATTTACCAGATTTTACCATTTCAATAAAGAAATCCTAAATCAATATTATCCTTTCGATTATGTTTTCTTTAATATGATTATTGTAAGTTCTAAGATTTAACGGGTATTTGATAATGTCAACATTTTAGTGGTTTTTTATTTAAATTATTGAATTAAAAGATTGTACGTACCGGCAGTTCGACCATAAAACTTCACACCATATGCTAAATTCGTAGGTGATATTTAGCAATATGAAACGGTTGAACCATGGTTAAATTATGACTTCAGCATAAAATATTCTACTACCAACTTTTTCGATGTGATTTACAATCATTTGGTTCAAACAATTCTTTTAAACTGGTGGAACCAAATTTTTTAAGCCATATTTTGAACAATCTATTGCAAAAAAGCATAAATCAGTTAGCGATAACGAGAGTATGCGATCTCATTCAACCCAAATGATACTTTGCAACTTATTATCTTTTTAAAATAAATGTATGCTACTCATACCCTCAATCTCACTCATTCATCAATTTAATGAGTAACATATATTTATGTAATATGATTTTCATAGGTTTTCATTTATTGAATTATTTCATGAAAATATTTGGTTCATGAAAAATATTACATTGTTGCTATACATTTCTGCGAAATGAGAACAATTTGGGAAGTCAGTACACAACACATTGTCCAACTAACTATTATCGACAACTTAATATAATGTCATATATATTTCAAATCAAACAACTTCAGAGAATCAGATTCATTACCAACTGTGTGGTAAAAAAATGCTCTCTATTGGGAAAATCTTAAAGGACATACTAAACACTATGAGATATATTTTCTTCTATCCTAAAATTTGATTAAGTATGTATTATGAGAAGAAACTCTAATATTAACTATATGATTTAATTAAATAATGAATGATGATTAGTTATATTTATTTCTTTTTTCATTCAGTAGTTATATGTAATGCTTATATAATTTTTTTTCTCTTTTCATGGAGGTCTAAACACATTATGTATAGTCGAATCACTTTCAAAAACAATAACTTCATATATTTTAAATAATCTATTATATACATTATTATAGACCATATTCCTCGACAAAATTCTCCCGGTCAACAGGCCGGGCCCTGTGCTAGTTAATTAAAATAAACATTTGATGTGATTTTTATAATTTCAGACAAAAAAATTGTCATGAAAAATGATGTAATCAATGCAAAAACACATTACTTGGTTCAAATTACCATAGATTCTTCACATGTTTGTCTGAATGAGTTGTGTCATCAACTACTCATCTAACTTCAATCATAATGAGTTATTTCATCAATTGTTCATCCAATTTTAATTAGAGTAAATTGTGCCATGAACTCTTCGTCAAACTGAGAACACATTATAGGGAAAAGGCTCTGAATTTCTAGGAGCTAGGGTTTCGACGAAGTGCGGCTACCTCACGATCTCAATATGGCTTCCCCGTCGGCCGGGGGGAGGGGGGGGGGATCCACCAGGGGTTCCAACCTTTGATAAGGCTGCCGGAAAGCCCAGACCACCGTCGGTGACATTGTCACCGAACAAGTCTGCGGACAAAGAAGCCCAACAAGTGCGAAAGAAATTTCCCCGAGCTGGCTTCCAACTCTCAGGGACCTCGCTCCACCCCCCCCCCCCCCCCCCCCCCCCCCCCCCGAGTGAAGGCGATGCAACCCAACCTGCATTGGCATGGCATGGAAAAAATAACCTGCATGATGTGTTGAATAACGACGCGTGGTACGTGGCGGAGTCTGACTCCGAGGACGTCCACGGAGCGATGAAAGAAGATGATCTCGATGATGAGATCCCGATTGACAATGACCACCCTGTGCCCTACCATTCCGTTTAAGGAAATGGAGAAAGCTCGTTACCGTCGCAAGTGGCGCTCGACGCTGATAGTCAAAGTCTTGGCTGCTCTTTTCCTTTCCCGGTGCTATCCAAACGCATCGAGTCTCTCTGAGCGAAACATGGGACGATGCAAATCTCGAGTATGTAGTACGAGTTCTATGTGGTTCGTTTTACGAGTCAATTCGATTATGAACAGGCAGCGGCAGGAGGGCCTTGGATGATCTGGGGTTGTCATAACCAGGGAGCTCAATTAGTACGATATTGTCCGCTTTGGGCCAAGCCCACACGGTTTTACTCTTGGGTGTCCTTCCCAAAAGGCCTCGTACTAATTGGGCTAGGTGGACTCTAATATACAAGGGTCCCTTCCCTTGTATTACCGATGTGGTACTTGGATTGTCCCATAACAATCCTTCCCTCAAGACAAGGACCACGAACTTTGTGTCCTCACCTCACCTCAACGATTATCTTGATCCGCCAGATGCCTTGTATCGATGGGCTTCTCGATACAAGGACTTTACCAGACGCATAACTCTCTTTGATCTGCTTCCCAAATGCGGAACTCTCTTTGATCCACCAAGCCCAAACGTGGATCTCTCCTGGATCCACCAAACCATATGCAGATCTCAAACCCCAAGGTCACCGAACGAGGGTCCACCGAACTGACGTCCACCGCCTCGGATCTGTCAAACCAGGCTCTGATACCACTTGTCATAACCGGGGAGCTCAATTAGTACGATATTGTCAGCTTTGGGCCAAGCCCGCACGGTTTTACTCTTGGGTGTCCTTCCCAAAAGGCCTCGTACTAATTGGGCTAGGTGGACTCTAATATACAAGGGTCCCTTCCCTTGTATTACCGATGTGGTACTTGGATTGTCCCATAACAGGGGTTACTATCTGACAGTTCGTCCATGAAGAAAAGGGTTTGATGCTAAATTTATTGAGGTATCATCAACATTGGTGTGGGCTCGTCTTTCAGATTTGCCGTTGGAGTTCTTCGATTGTGAGGCTGTGGATAGAATTGCTCAGCGAATCGACAGTCCAGTGCGCGTTGATCGTGCCACTCTTAATGGGGAACATACTCAATTCACTCTTGTTTCTGTTGAAGTTGGCCTTAGAAAACCCTTGCTGGGTAGCTACCGAATTGAGGGAAAGAAATACTACATTGAGTATGAAGGGCTTCATAATATTTGCACTGAGTGTGGTCGCTATGGGCATGCTAAAGCTACTTGTCCGTCTCTTTTCCACCCGGCGGCTAACATTGTTCCTAGCACCGAGGCTCCGCCCACAGAGAAGGAACAACCTCAAGAACCAGAACCAGCTTTTGGGGAGTGGATGGTTGCTAAGCCAAAAGGAAAGAAGGCTCATCAACCTGGTAAGTGCAAGACTAACCTATAACCACTTAAACAAAGCAAGGAGTTAAGTTTGGGGTTGAGATTTGCTACTTTAGAAGCGGAGGAGGTAGTTGAGGAAATGGATGTTGAGGCACGAATAGAGCATGAAAGTAAGTGACGCCAGTGGCAGAGCCAGTGCATAAAAAGGTGGGACCTGGGACCTACCTTGGGTCGAGAGAAAATAATAAGGATTAAAAATCGTACCAAAGTTAATCAGACAAGTCAATGGTATGATATTTTATGTTGAAAACGTGGTTTAATCGTGGAACCAACCATTTCAGGTTTATTCATTATATATCGCCAAAACTTTCTTTTGTTGAAACTCGCTAGATTCTTTTTATCCTAATAATAAATTCAATATATCAGGTTTTAAACCTCAACTAGATTATTATATGTATACTTTGACGTGAATATAGGCTAGTTATTGTCTAAAACTATATAGAATTAGGAGTTATTTTTTGAATCATGGTAATTGAAATAAGTAACTTATTGTTGTTGCTAACTAAGGCTCCACTGCAAGTATTGAAATAACATTTTCAATGAGCCACGCGAAAACACTCTTTGGTATCTAATGGGTGACAAAATCATGAATGATTATTTTATAAGGTATATTGACATCAGTATCATATGAATGCAAGTTCGTCAATATATGAGAACACATTATGGGGCACTGCAATGACTCAAATTTTTCTTGCAATATAAAAAAATTTGGACCCACCTTACATAAAATTCTGGCTACGCCACTGAGTGACGCACCTGCGGGTGAGACCCAACCAAATAACCAATATGATTTGGAACCTCGTGTGCCAGTAGAGGTCCAAACAGCAGCATTCAAGCCTGGGGTGGAGGTGCTTTCTACTGCTAGCCACATCACATTGAACCATGTGAGTTTAGTGGAAGTTCCGGTTGGAATTATCAATGCTCCGCTATCAGTAAGTTCGGTGACGCCTTCTTCTACGGAACCTTTACCGGGTAAAAAGCAGACCACCCCTCCCCCAGTTAAAAGCAAGCCAGCGCAGCCGATTGTTATTAACTCGAAGACAAGCAGGGGAACGAAGCCAGACTCGGGCCAATCCAAGGGGGGTACGTCCTCGCAGAAAAGTGTAATCCCCAGGTGGAGAGGAATAAAACTTTGAGTGGCGATGCTTTGGTAGGGGGGAAGCATTTTCCCCAACCTACAACGTCCTAATCGTTGGTTGGGGCCTTCGTGTGTTCCAGGGAAGTTTCTGTTTTCCTCACATGTTATTATGTTAGACATATTAGCTTGGAACTGTCAGGGAGCAGGGAATGATCGTTTTATTCCTGTCTTGTTAGAGTTTTGTGGATCCCATAAACCATATCTTGTTTTCATTTTTGAACCCCACATAAGTGGAGTGACTGCGTGAAATGTGATTAGGCAGACTGGTTTTGATGGTTGCCTGGTTGTGGATGTTGTAGGTCATGCAGGTGGAATTTGGAGCCTTTGGCAGGAACGCGATTTGGTGGTCACCCCGTGCTTTGAGTGGGAGCAGATGATCCATTTTCGCTATGCTCGCAGAAGGGCCCCTAGCTCGAAGGTTCTGGTTTCAGTGGTTTACGGAAGTCCTAATGCAGCTCGACGAACAGATCTTTGGAATGAGATTCGACGCATGACAACTAATGTTTCTTTATCTTGGATATTGGCCGGAGATTTCAATTCCATTATCAGCCCACATGACTGGATGGGTGGTTTGGATTATCAAAAGGCCAGGACCGACTGCTCAAAAAGTGTGTAGATGATTGTGATTATTGGGTGTGGATTATACGGGGCCACGGTTTACTTGGAAGCGGGGAAATCTCTACCTAAGGATGGACAGGGCTCTTTGCAATCGTGCTTGGTTTCTCAAGTACCCCTCCACTCTCGTTAGTCACCTGGAATGCATTGGTTCGGACCATCGACCCATTCTGGTCAAGGGATCGATTGACTTTAGGCTCGGGGGGGATAAGCCTTTCCGTTTCTTGACGGCAAGGTTAGGCCATGAGACATTCTCGGGGGTGTTATCTTCCTCTTGGAATGATCCTTCAGCCTTGCCGGTCAACCTCCATTCATGCTCGGAGGCCCTGCAGAAATGGAACAGGGAGGTGTTCGGTAACATTATCCGCAGGAAAAGGAAGTTGTGAAGGGAACTTAAAAAGCTGGAGATGCAAAATGAGACCAACCCAACCTTGAAGTCACTGTTGGCGGAGCAAGATAAACGGACTGCACTTGAGGATACGCTCTGGCAGGAAAATCTACTCTGGCTTCAGAAATCGCGAGCAGTTTGGATCGTGAAGGGGACTGAAATACCCATTTCTACCACCTGTCCACTTTGAAGCGTTGTCGTTTCAATAGGGTGTTGGGGCTTCGAAATGAGAATGGGGTCTAGATCTTTGAGGACGAGGAGCTGCATGCACTGGTCTAGAATTATTTCCTGCTTCTATTTTCGGCTGAGCTAGGTGCAGCACCGTACCTGCCAACTTCATTCAGTAAGATCTCCAGCCGAGAAGCTGAAATGGTGGCCCTTCCTGTCACCTCATTGGAAGTATGGGAGGCAGTCAAAAGCATGGGTGGTTTCAAGGCTCCCGGGAAAGACGGTTCCTCCTCTCTTGTTCCAAAAGTGTTGGACTACCGTTGTTTCTTCCTTGGTGCGGTTTATAAATGAGTGCATGGTTAACCCGCAGTCCACCAAGGCGGTTAATGATACCCTTCTGTGTCTTATCCCGAAGAAAGAGAGTCTGGAGTCTATCACGCAGTTTCGTCCGATTGGGTTGTGCAGTGTAGCGTACAAAACTCTTACCAAGGTACTGGTGAATCAGATTAAATCTCTTATGTGAAATCTGGTTTACCAAACTCAAACTAGGTTTGTACCAGGGCTTCATATCACCGATAACATTATCATTCTCCAAAAAGTGGTTCATTCTATGGGTATAAAGACAAGAAGATGAGGACAGATGCTTCTAAAGATCGATCTAGTCAACGCTTATGACAGATTGAGCTAGATGTTCATTCGGGAGACTCTCGTGGAGGTAGGGCTTCCTTGAACCATCATCGAAGTGATTATGCAATGTATCTCCTTGGCTTCTATGCAGGTCCTCTAGAACGGTTGCACAACGGAGGAGATTACGCCCTCACGTGGACTTCGCCAAGGTTTCCCGCTCTCACCATACTTAGTTTACGCTATGTATGGAGAGATTGAGCCAGACAATAAAGAGGACAGTGCAAGACGGGTAATGGAAACCGATCAGGACGTTCCCAGGAGGCCCTCCATTATCTCACATTTTCTTTGCAGATGATCTTATCTTGTTTAGAAGTTTCATTTGGGGATCATCTAAAGAGGCCAGGAAAATTCATCTTGTACACTGGGAAGCTGTATGTAGGCCAAAATCGGAAGGAGGACTGGGGATCAGGAGTGCTCACGAGCTCAACCAACCATTCCTGGCTAAGCTGGCTTGGCATTTCACAAAGAAGTCGGAGGAGTTGTGAGTGCGTGTACTCCAGGTGAAGTATTTCAAGAGATCCAATGGAGCTTTAGTGGCCAAATCGTCGCCAAGAAAGTCTAATGCTTGTCGAGGAATAATGAAGGCCTGACCAATTATGTTATTTGGCATGAAGATGAGTATCAAAGATGGTTGCAGTACCTCGTTCTGGACTGACAACTGGGTGGATAATGGAGAGTCGCTCCTCGACTTGGCTTGCGAGGATGGGCCTGAGATCGATTCGAAGACCGCGGTGGCCGAGTTTGGAACTAGCTCTGGTGAGTGGAACATCCCAAAACATTGTTCTTGTCTTCTTGAGGATGTTGTTTTGCAGGTTTTGGGGATCCAGCCCCCGAGAGTAGATTCGAGAGAGGACATAATGACGTGGGGCTCGGAGAATGATGGTCATTTTCGTGTCAGGTCGGCTTATGAGATCAGAAAATGGGAGGTGGACAGAGATGCTGACATCGACTAGTGGTCTATTTGGCGTTGGCGGGGTCCTGCAAGGGTCAACCGTTTCATGTGGCTGGCAATACGTCAGAGACTGTTGACGAACCAGGAGCGGAACCGAAGGCATTTGATAGGAGCACCCCACTACTCCATCTGTGAGAATCAGACGGAAACAGTCATGCATGTGTTGCGGGATTGTCCTTTTTCCAGGTTAACTTGGTTGCAACTACCTCAGCTTTCTGATCACCGAGACTTTTTTGTCAGCGATACACAGGAGTGGATTCAACGAAACATCAATAGAGAACACACTTGCCTAGATTTGGCATTATCTGCTAGTCCCTGTGGAGGACTAGAAACGACAGAGTGTTTCAAAACAAAGTCGTTACAACTGAAGCTTTCTTATGGCGCGTCCAAGCATGGATAAATGTCGTGCGTATTGCCATGGACAAAGATAGGCTTGTTCATTCGCCTAATCTACCTGCTAGAACGGAGATGGAGATCTCATGGAAGTCGCCACCTTCAGAGTGGGTTAGGGGTGTACATGGGTCGGGTGGGTTGGGTTTTGACCACTTTAGTCACCCAACCCATACACCACGGTTTATAAATCATGAAACCCAAACCCACCCAATAAAATTAGAACCCTATGGTTTGGGTCGGTTCGGATTAGAGTATAAATCCAACCAAAACCCAACCCATCCACGGTGCAAAATAAATCTTTAATTCTATTATCCATTCATTTGTTTATACAATCATAACTTCATGCTTTCAGATTCTAAACTACGTAAACCAAGATGATTGAGCCAATTGCAATTCTACTATGTAATAATCCAAATAGCACCAGTATGTATATTTATTTAGCTACTTACCTGCTATTGAATTAGTTTTCAAGAAATGTCATTTATAGAAAAGAAGATTAAAATGGGATGATGCAGAAACTCAAACAACTGGAACGTGGAAAAGTAAAGGACTTACAGTGGATAACCTTGAGCCCGTGAGAATTGATGATTTGCAGGTGGGTTGGATTCTCGGGTTGGACTATTCCCAAACTAATCCGGCCGAGCATATGGGCGTGTTACAATAAACAAATCCGGACCCAACCATATATTTTGTAGCTCAACGGTTTTATGGGTGGATCGGTTTGGATTGACGGGTTGGATCGGTTTACGGGTTGATATGTTCACCCCTAGAGTGGGTTACTCTTAATTTAGACGGCTCCGTCATTCAGTAATCAGGTCACGCTGCAACTGGTGGCCTAATTAGAGATCATACAAAAAGCTGCTCTACAGCTTTCGCTATAAACTTGGGTATTTGTTCTGTTACCCGAGTAGAGTTGAGAGGCGCTATGGAAGATCTTCAGTTGGCTTGGGACATGGGTCTTCGCCGAGTCAGGGTGGAGCTCAACTCCAGGTGTGCGGTCCAGCTCTTACAGAGCAGAGATAGACCTGATCATCATTATGCTGATTTGATCGACCTGTTCCAGGATTTGCTTTCTCATAATTGGGAAGTGTCCGTTTCCCGTATTTATCATGAGGGAAACCAGTGTGCTGACGCCCTCGCTAATAGGGGTTATTCGTTACCTTTCGGATTTCATAGGATTGAGGTTTCGGATCCTGCCCTTTGTAATTTGCTTATGTATGACTGTCAAGGCATTTCTGTGCCCCGTTTTGTTGTGAATGAAAGCTAAGATGCGTTGCATCCATTTACCATAAAAAATTGAGATCACATTATTGCAAAATGAATTTTTTCATGTTTCTATAAAGGGTAAATTGCAAGTTTGGTCACTGGAATTACTAAAACATTTCATGTTTGCCATTAAGATTACTTTATTCCTCACTGGATGTGGTATGTCGCACTGCTCACGTCGCTGTCTACGGCTCCTGGGCTGTTGCGTGAACTATGGCGGTGGCACGCCCCATGTCAATGCCAGAGTCGTACGCTCTAGCCAAATGTCTAGGTTGTGCTCATCAATAGTATACCACTCTGTAGCCTTTGTAGCATCGGGATGCCGACGCTCACTGAAACCTAAAGCTATAACCCTTGCTGCCAACATGTCAGCCTACTCCTCCATCCGGTCGGTGGACATCCCTCCCTCCCAAACTCCATCACGTACACTCAGCTCAGCGTACTCCATGCTGTCGTACTGAAAATTAAATTTAAAATATCAGAGATTCTACACATCTCAAAACAATTAAAACACAAATATGAATTAATCAATAACTAATCGATGCGTTCATTGCAGCTCCTCTCCATGTGCCTGAACGTTTGGTAACATCTCCATACCACTCTAGATGCTCCGAGTGGTAGGCTAAAGAGACATCGTTGTAGCTCACGCACGCTATGAACTCATGACGACGGCTCCACAAATCAATTGACTCACTAGCTGCTTGTATCAACTGCTGCCCATGCGATGGGCCATGTTGGCCCTGGCAAAGGAAAAATCTAATCTCAGGCGCCGGATGTGGCTGATGAGGCTCATCCTGCATCATGCCAAACTGTCCGAGCACGCATATCAGTGGAACTACTGCTAGAAACGTATCAGACTGGATCGCACTACTGCTGAGATCCTGGGCTCTCTCAAAGTAAGGATGCCACTACACACAAAAAGTGGTCACATAATTACTCCTAAATCTAAAACAAACCAATGAAAACTATTCTATAAGACGAAATGTTATATACGAACCATGAAGATCTTGCTATCCTCAAACCACAGCTTGTACTGGTAGAACTTATCACCATGCTAACGGGTATGGGCCGGAAGCCATCGAACACCACGTGACAATGCGTCCTCGGTAATCTGCGCCCCCGTCTCTGTATGTAGTGGTGCTATATGTGGAAATCGCTCCCACGCCTAGAGATGCAGTAAGGCGGACCATCCATCAAGGTCACCAGCTAGTGAAGAGGACTGCGTCATTTGAAGCACCGACCTGCCCATCTCACGGTAAATGTAGGATAGAACAGTTGCTCCTTAGGCGAACCTGCCAGGTCTGTGCCAATCCTCCACCAAGAGTAGGTACTGTAGATGAACTGAACCTCCGGACCGATCGGGAACCAGTACACCTCCCATCAGAGATAGAGCATAAGCTCGTGCAAACTGATTTGGTGATGCATCTGCCGGCAGACGATCGAATGTATCCCTAAGCAAAGAAATCCTAATGGCACCGCCGGAAAGATCAGTAGAAGCTCGTCTTAACGATCGAACACACATCTCCAACCAGTCCTCGTCTGGTATGTCTAGTATGACAACATCATCGTCGATCACTCGACCGATCAGTGTTGCAACGTCCTCTAAAGTGATCGTCACCTCACCAAACAGCATGTGAAAGGTCGATGTCTCAGATCGCCAACGCTCTACGAGTGCAGTAATCAAATTTGGAGCAGCAGTAATAGGGACCAATGGCAGAACCCTAAACAAGCCCACCTCGACGAGGTACGTCTCATAACGTCGATGGTGCCTGAATAAATTAGTCGTATCTTGAATATGGTAAGGTCGATCACCAGACTATAGTGCACAAAACTTATATTAATTCAATTTCATGCGTACTTCTAAATTCAGTTCTTTATCTAATCTAAACTTATACTAATTTCAACATATTTCAGGCGTAATTCTATTTTAATTTTAGTTCAGTTCACCTAATAAAAATCTAAAATAGTTTAATCTAACTAGCTATAGAAGTAGCTGAAAAACTTACCTCGTTTGCCCAAACTGAGTCAATATGATGGTGGCCATGTCTCCAAAGAAGTGTCGGATCCACCAAATCTGTATCAATTGTCGCAGGTGGTGGTCTCATGGAATAACTGTCCATAAGCCTAGGAACTAGAAAAACAAAAATAATAATCAAAACATAAAAAAACTCAATTATAAAAAAAACTCGTTGTCGACGAGAATCCGACTGCCGCCGGCGAAAACATCACCTCGGTAGCAGTCGCCGCCGCCACGACCGCGAACTCACCGCCCTCTCCCCTTCCTCTGTCGGCGACTATTTCTTCGTCGTCGGACATCTCCTCCCCCAAAACCCGGATCCGCTGCGCCGCGCGGTGGCCGTCCATGTCTCCGGCGTCTTCGCTTGAGACTGAGGCGCTGCCACTCTAGACTCAGGCGTCCCTACTCAGCAAGTTGGCGAAGCCGCCTTTGCTTCTGGCGTTGGCGCTGGTCGCTGCGAAGGGGAGACAGTGGTGGTTGTGTGGTCGAAGAAGAAGGAAGAAGAAGAGATAAGGTAAGGGGGCGTGGGTGGAAAAGTAAAAAAAGGAAGAGGGAAGGCGCGTTTGCCTGGGTCTCGGGCGTCAGCGCTGTCATTAAAAATCAACGTCGGAGACTAGGACGGATTCCCCCGGGTGAGTTTTAAATGCCTAAAATCGCGGCTCCGCCTGAGTGTGGGGTGGACCTGCTCTTTTTCCTCTCCAAAACACAATATTTGTGTCAATACTTTCAAAACTGCAATATTTGTGGTAATTTTTTTTTTTAAAAAACTATATTTTGGGAATTAACCTTTAAAACTCCACGAAATATACTATCTAAAGAGGAAAAAATAAATAAATAATTCACTGCCTTTCGAGGCATACTCATCCTTGGGAAATAATCCAAAACTACCACTGCTTAATTTTTTTTGCAAAACTACCTTCCAAATCGAAAAATTCCAAATCTACCACCCTTAATTAAAAACCGCACCACGGAGGCGCGGCTATAGAGAAAGCCGCACTGCAAAGGGGCAGTTTCTCATGGAACTGCATACTGAGGCATCGGTTTCTTTTATTTGGGAAAATTGCTCTTGGAAGAAGCGGTTCCCATGGCTGCCCTAGCACAAACCGCATGCTCGGGATGTGGTTCTGCGTTGGCAACAAAAACCGCCCCTCAAGCAAGCAGTTTATCAGGTTAATGCACAAATCGTATCCCCCAGCGATTTGTGCCTCATCCTCATTCCCCTGACAACCGACATGTCGGCATGTAGGAGGTTGTAGGGGTGGGTGTTGCATGCCAGACTAAAACCGCTCTCCACTGCGGTTTTCAGTGTAAATTTTGCCTATAAAAGGCAGCCCCAGAAAACTCAAATCTTCACTACTCTACTTCTTCTTCGAATTTCAGTTGTGTACCTTTCATTTTTTTAGTTTTTGCGATTAACGTGAATTCGTAAGTTTGTTTTGTATTACTTTTCATTGTGATTTTTATGGTAATCAGTGCAGTCAAAATCGCGTATTAAAATATAAAAACTTATGTTTTTACATATCCAGGCCACTAAAACGTTTCAGTTTCTACCTAAAGTCGTTTAGTCACGAAACTGGTAAAAACATGGGTAAAATCGGTAAAATTGCTTAAAATCGGTAAAATCGCGATTCTGAAGCGTTTTTATACGATTTTAATCATCTCATAAAAATGTGCTAATTGGCCCAAAATGATGTAATTTTTTAGACATATCAGCGAAAATAAAAAAAAAGGAAAACATGATTCATCACTCGTTCTACAACTAGTATCGAGATAGGGGCTTCACATTAGGTTCAAAAGACACCTAATGGTGTTCTCAACATCCGCTGACCTTTTATCAGTCTTCTCCCTTAATCTTCAACCGTGGCTCTTACCTGGGTTACGATAAAAGTTTATGGGTAATTGATCGTATGTAATTATGTAAACTCAAACCAGCTTATGAGAATTTGGATTCTCAAACTCATTTACGGGTTATGATCTACGTTTATGAGCTTATTATTAAGATGTTATGAGTTTTCTCTAATTTTGAGTCAACACAAATTAGTTTATGTGTTATATATTACATTTTAATTATGAATTTAATGTAGTTATTCACTTATCTAAAATCTACACACTCACATTTTACCTACTATATGTTGTACTTAACATATTTTAGCTATTTTAGAGGGTGCGTCAAAAACTTACGCTTTTACGCTTTGATTCTACGTTTTACGATTTTACCCATTTTCCGCTTCTAGGTAGAATCGCGCTTTTAACTGCATTGATGGTAATAACTTAATTATGGTTTTATTGCAGATGGCATTCCAAAAGTTCACGTTTGGGTTACGGTGAAATGGTTACACGGAAGAGATCGGAAAGGGGGTACGTTACGTCGGTGGCAATTTTTATAAAATGAAGGTTGCTACGAGACCGATGCTTGAAGAACTCCATCAAATGTGTGCTGAGTTTACCTGCATTGATGGCACGAGAAGAGTTGATCGTATGGTGTATCGATATCCAAACAGACATGGCGGGTCGTTGCGGAATGATGAATTCCTCATTACCACTCAGGAGGACGTTGATGCCATGGTCCAATTTTTCACCACCAATAATATTAAACAAGCGGAGATGTTCGTTTACACCGAGGCGGTCGAAGGCGGTGTAGGTCATTCTGGAGATGGCCAAACATCTGGTATCCATGGTGGGGGTGAATTATACGAAGATCATCCCCACCAGGGTTACCATGATCCTCATTCCTACCATGAGTACCAAGAAGGAGGTGAAGGTCATCATCAATCCTTCCCATCATATGAGGAAGAAGTCCAACAATACCATGACAACCAATAAGAAGGCTACCAGTACCAACCCGAGTACAACTTCTACCAAGGCGGCGGTAGTTACCACAACTACCATTACGGAGCTGATGAAGGTGTCTTTCATGATCTTGATCAGATGGAAGATGCCCAACCAAATCTAGTTAGTGACCCTAAGGATGAAGAAGAGGAAGGCGATGTAAGTGCATACAACTTCGGTCCTCTTGAAGGTGTTGATGAGTTGGCGGTCGATCTTTATCCCATAAAAGTGCCTAATGAGATCT